GCGCAGGATCGCTACATCCGGGTACATCACCTGCGTCATCGAACAGCTACGGCGACCAAGTACCGCTCGACAAATACCCGGATTGAGGAGGCTTTCTGCACAGACCGTCAGGAACAGGTTGAGAAAGGCTGGTTTACGTGCCAGAAGACCTTATTTTGGCCCTGTGCTTCGACAACAACATCGTCGACATCGAGTTCAATGGTGCACCAACGTTCAGGCCTGGAACCTACCGAATTGGCGTAGAATCTGGTTCAGTGATGAATCACGATTTCTAATGGAACGACGCGATAGAAAGAATGCGGGTGTACAGACGTCGCCGACGCTTGCGTTCCCCAGGTGGACAGATTCGGCCGGGGAAAGTGTTATGATGTGGGGAGCGATCACCTGCCGTAGGAGAAGTGATTCGGTGATGATCCAGGGCAACCTGACAGCTCAACGGTACTGTGACGAAATCCTACGCCCACACCTCCTTCCAATCATTGATCGCCAGAGGGAGTTGTTTCAACAGGACAATGCCAGGCCCCACACAGCACGTCACACTAGAGACTTCCTCCAGAACCACAACATCAATGTGCTCCCCTGGCCCTCAAGATCACCGGTCTTAAACCCGATCGAACATTTGTGGGATGCCCTGGACAGACGGGTGAGACGCCGTAACCCTCAGCCCCAGACACTTCAGCAACTCGCACAGGCACTACAGGCAGAGTGGGCTGCGATTGGGCAAACACGAGATTCTGAGACTTATTCGTTCGATGCCGAGGCGATGCCGTGCAGTTCTGGATTCCCACGGTGGTCACACGAGGTATTGACTTCAGCGCCACCACCCGTCTCCATGTGACACTCAAACTGACTTTCATCGAGTTGGTGCCAAAGACGGATAAGTCTGCATTCCAAGTGTGCAATTTCGCTATATTTCATTCACTCATACAGCCTACACGATGTTTCAAAATAAACATAAAAATACAGTTGAAATTCCTATATGCGTTTCTTTTTTGGGAGAGTATATATATGGAAAACGTTACCCCCAAAAACGTTTTCGGACAAAATAATTAGTTGAATAGGATAGGAACTACTATGACTTCAAGGCCTGACATACAACATTCTGTATGGAATGTCCAGTTCTGACCAATGTGATAGCAAATGGGTATCTGGAATGTGATGTAATTCAATGTTTTGTACAAAGGCCGGATCTGATTGATAGATGTACATCTCTCAGTTTGATACAAGGGTTTAATGTCCCATGACCTTGACATTGCATACTCTCAACCGCAGAGATGCTCCAGATACCCTGAGTTCGACGTACTGGTAGAACCCGGACAATGCCACACAGGAGAACTCCTGGACACTGTTAGCTTCAATGAGTCCTGATGTTTTGGAGCATTTGTCCGGACAGGAAGTCAACGGCCAACAGCCATTTCCGAGTGCCACTTCCAGGATTGCAATAGGGTCGTTGGCTGCAAAGTGGAACAAATACAGTATCAATAACAAATAGTCTACGCATTGTGCCAAGTACGTTCACCACTGGGGCAAGTTCACAAGTAAATACTAGTATCCAATCTTCATATCAAATGCAGGAGTGACTTTTGATTATCGTCGCAGTCAAAGAAGACGTTTGCAGTGTGAAAATTTCAGAGAATAGTCGACGAGCAAAGGACAAGTCAAAATACAAATGAATGAATACAACGAAAAACAGAACAAGCGAGCTGAGTCCTTCTACTAATATATTACATATCAACTTACATTTTAACAAATATGGCAGAGTACTTGCCATGACTGTTTTCCAATGACGCTGTACATGTCTTGTCAGCTATCATCATTAAAATATAAAGTAGTAGCTTTACTGGTCCTGTGAGATTACCGAGAAGACGCTGTATGGTAGCTGCCATCGAAATGGCAGTAACTATAACTAGTAGCCATACTCATCTTCCAGGTTAAATGATGATTAATTGAAACATCTTGAAATACCATAAAACCAACACAACATTTATACCAACCCACAGATATTTCTTTAGGTTCTAAAACTGACTGAGTTTGGTTTTACGCCGCTTTTAGCAATATTCCAGCAACATCACGGCGGGGGACACCAGAAATGGGCTTCACACATTGTGCCCATGTGGGGATTCGAACCCGGGTCTTCGGCGTGACGAGCCAACGGGTTAACCATTAGGCTACCCCACCGCCCCTTTAGGTTCTAAAAAGACAAATGATATTGAAAATAAGAATTAAGATTGTGAAATGAAACATCACTTTTTATTCAAATTACACGTCCCATCTTCATTGAAATTAAAAGTGTCGACTATTAAATGAAGAAGATAGAGGTCTGCCATGTGAAACGTTTGTGAAAACATATCGTTTATGCAGGGTTTAGTCAGTGCTATACTACTTAAAGTTTGATAAGGATAAACTTCTGGAATACCAAAAATCGTTTAGATGATGAACGGAAGATGTCTGTAGTCACGGCACGATGTGCACGATCTGCTTGACAAACCAGCTGTCTTTGAGTATAATGTAACTTATGCCACATCAGCGTCAAAACCCTTGTTATGCGAACGAAAAACATGACGTTTTGATAAGCCACACAGTGACATGCAAGTGTTAGAATACGTTCAATAACACATGGAAACTTCCTGACGAGCAGTGGCAAAACGTTTATTCTCAAGCAATGCATAATAGTTTCCACGAGGCTAGGCTCCTGTTACGGAGGTTAGCATTGACATATCTCGGAGAGGCACTGCCAGGCACGTTTGGATTGGGCTGAACATTACTTAAATTGGACAGACCTTAGAAAGACATTTCGCTAGTGACTTGCTGCTGTGTATAGTAGACTTTATGCATTGTGGTGTCCACGTGTGGCGTAGGTAAGGAGAAAGATTTCAGAAGTTCAAAGTAGCCGAAAGCAACCGTGATAGTTTGGGCTCACTCAAACTGATTCCATCCTCATGGACTGTAACGCACGACCTCATTTTACGAGGGTCGTTGATGCCTTCTTTGAGCAAGAGACTTTTGGCCTTTCTGGTCAGCAGTCCTCAGCTCTATGTAGAGCATATAAAACGAGTCGTAGATCTCCCTTTCCCTACGCCTTTCCTTCAGGCAACTCTACAAGAACTCGGCAGTGAAGAGTGGAACAATATTTCCTTGGCAAACGTTGACACTTACTGGGAGAATGATACAACCGTAATCGCATCAAATGGATCACATTCGCGCAACTGAGTTTTGACTTTTGGATGAAGAATTTGTTTTCTCGACTTTTGGAATTTTCAAAATAAGTTAGATACTTGTGATCTGGCTGATTATTGGTCACATTTGGTTGGCTGGTATTGTATGGTGGCTAAGAATGTCCATTAATAGTCTGGACATAATTTTGTGATCGGCATTCTAAAAGTTGGTGAGTTATAAATGAAACATAACTTTATGGAGTGAATTACAAGACTCTTGTTTATTGGCTTCATCACCTGTGCTATTTGTTGTTTTTAGTCCCCAACTGGCCTCTTCCAATTATGTACCACTTATTATTCAATTACATGCTGTTGTTAATGTTAATCTGCTCTTTGTCATAACATAACATATAGATATGCTTCTCACCATTTGGTTGTAGTCACTTTTAGCTTGATAACGATGTAAGAATTTACATCGAAACGTCGCTCTATGCAATAAACAAGAAGTTATCATTCATAAAGTTGTATGTTTCATTTTACAACTGGACTTATTACGTTTTGTAAGAGACCCTTAGCAAACTTTAATTATCACTCTAAGGGATCGACCTTTTGTTGCCTCATATGAGTTGATAGACCTCGAGATAGATATAGCTCTGGTTGAATTAAGCTCTTGTGTGATCTATACAACTGGTATCTTGAACTATTGTCTAGACAGGAATGCCATATGTTAACATATTGTTCTCGAAATTGCTTAAGAAATTGATTAATATTACCAACTGTTTGATTTAGCCACATAAATCCAAAGCCATGAGAAAATAAAAGAGTTCTAATGTGAGACGCCCATGTTGTCTTACCCCTATCATCTAAATGTACAAGCATGTTATAAGCTAGTTTTGGGATTCTTTGTTCGTGCATTCCAAGGATCTTTAACCAATATTTGAAACATCTGATTTGTGAATTTATATATATCGGATATCTACCGCATGCTCCATAAACCATACAAGTTATGACGTCAACAACACCCCATAAAATTGACAAAGCCAATGTTAGATTTGCATGTGGCCTGTTGCATTTTGGAAAAGATACGTTATGGCTGCGCCTGTTTTGCATATATAATTCCAACAGCGCTCTGTTACAAAAACTCACTGCAACAATTATCCGTTGAAGTTACTTGAACTGTATATATTTTGTAGGGTTGACCAAGGTCCACCTTCCACCAGGGGTCGGTACTGTATGAACTCCATGCACACCCTCCAGTCAACGCTTTCACTGGCGTGTATTGTGGGTATGCAGTTGAACTCAGAGAAGCGGACTTGCCGAGAGCGATGTTGTAAACTGTAAATTGAAAATGGCACAATGTTGGTACTACTGACATTACTGCGACTATCACTGGTAAGCAGTAACAGTGCTACGTATGCGGTGTTGCATCACCTACACCAACAACAACGACAACAACATATACTAATACCACTATTTGTACAAATACAGCTCCCAAATACGGACTTAATCATCGTAAAAGCTTGTTTTCGTCGTGAACTGAAATGCCATGAGCTCTATCGTCTGTTTCACAACATTTCTATCTGTCTTCATACCTTTGAACTATGTCTGGTTTTCATGGCAACAATGTTTAAAGATAACACTTTTCCCAATACTATCGCTATCTTGTCTGTTATTATCCAGTGGAATTGTCATAAACCACCAGTTTTCAGAAAGTTAAACTTCAGAAGAAGGTTTTTTAATTACTACTTTAAAAACCCAAAACTTTAAAGAGCCCTTAATGGTACATTGAGTAGAATTAGCTCTTAGATTTAGCTTTGTCAGGAAACCAGTGCTGCAGATACGCACCCTCCATTGGTCGTGTGTATGATGTGAATCCCTGCTCCGTCACTGCCGCTGCTTCCATGAGGATAGAGGTCATGTCACACGTGCCGTTAGCAGGGTAAAACTTGAAGCCAGCACATCCCTGCACACCAGTACACTTCCGGGCACAATCAAGCACCGTCTGTGCCATCATTCTGTCCAGTAGATGACTATAGAATACCTCCCCTGTAGGGCTTCCAGTCAGTGAGAACTGGACTTGGTCACAGGAATCAGGGAGATGTTGTAGACACACCAAATGCAGGCTCAAGAAAAGCCCTACACCTGATAACATTTCTCCAAACATGACGAGTTGACTTTAAGGAGCCCTGCAATACGCCTTCTGTTCTGCACCTGGTTCAAAGAACCTATATATTCAACCCCAAGTATTCCTGAGACACATAACTAGGGGGGATTGGAAATAAAGGACCGTCAATGTTCCTTAGGAATTTCGGACTAACTTACTTTTCTAGAAATTGCTCACCACAGACCTAAACTTGTTAGACATTCAAGATCGATCAAACCCTCATGCATTATTTTGGATTTTCCATTGTTGTTTAGTATGGTCGGGGACGTGATGGCCATTGTGTATTGTTCCAGCATCTGCTCATCGGGGAATTAAAATCACATTTGCTCCGTTGTCATGGTTGGTTTGCCAGTGTATTCTGGATGTTTCAATAAAGAGGTAATGTGTTGTATGCAAATGTGCTCGGCAGCATTAAGTGTTTGTTACAGTGGCTGCTTTGTAATTAGGTTGTGTGTTCACTTTTGAATGGGTTCAATCACAGAATACGAGCTTTGGGATAACACTATTGAGCACTGTTTAAACTTTTAACAGTTGGCGCTTTGAAGGATTGATTTGTCTCATAGAGCGTGTATCGCTAGGCAGCAAGGGTGTAACGGCTAGACAATAATCATCCACTGATACAACTGTAAGACATTCAAACGGATTTACCGTACATCGGTGTTAACACAAAACTAAAAACTCACATGCGCGCGTATGCTTTGTAAACTTGAGGGTTAATGCTGTGTAAACATGGGCGTGTATGATATGTAAACTTGTGCGTATATGACATATACAATTGTGCGTGTATGATATGTAAACTTGTGCGTGTATGATATGTAAACTTGTGCGTGTATATGATATGTAAACTTTTGCGTGTATGATATGTAAACTTGTGCGTGTATGATATGTAAACTTGTGCGTGTATGATATGTAAACTTGTGCGTGTATGATATGTAAACTTGTGCGTGTATGATATGTAAACCTGTGCGTGTATGATATGTAAACTTGTGCGTGTATGATATCTAAACTTGTGCGTGTATGATATGTCAACTTGTGCGTGTATGATATGTAAACTTGTGCGTGTATGATATGTAAACTTGTGCGTGTATGATATGTAAACCTGTGCGTGTATGATATGTAAACTTGTGCGTGTATGATATGTAAACTTGTGCGTGTATGATATGTAAACTTGTGCATGTATGATATGTAAACTTGTGCGTGTATGATATGTAAACTTGTGCGTGTATGATATGTAAACTTGTGCGTGTATGATATGTAAACTTGTGCGTGTATGATATGTAAACTTGTGCGTGTATGATATGTAAACTTGTGCGTGTATGATATGTAAACTTGTGCGTGTATGATATGTAAACTTGTGCGTGTATGATATGTAAACTTGTGCGTGTATGATATGTAAACTTGTGCGTGTATGATATGTAAACTTGTGCGTGTATGATATGTAAACTTGTGCATGTATGATATGTAAACCTGTGCGTGTATGATATGTAAACTTGTGCGTGTATGATATGTAAACCTGTGCGTGTATGATATGCAAACCTGTGCGTGTATGATGTGTAAACTTGTGCGTGTATGATATGAAAACTTGTGCGTGTATGATATGTAAACTTGTGCGTGTATGATATGTAAACCTGTGCGTGTGTTATGTGTAAACCTGTGCGTGTATGATATGTAAACCTGTGCGTGTATATGTAAACCTGTGCATGTATGATATGTAAACTTGTGCGTGTATGATATGTAAACTTGTGCATGTATGATATGTAAACCTGTGCGTGTGTTATGTGTAAACATGTATGATATGTAAACCTGTGCGTGTATGATATGTAAACATGTGCGTGTATGATAGGTAAATCTGTCCGTGTATGTTATGTTAACTTGCTTTGCGTGTGTTGTATGTAAAACTGCACCTGTATGTATGTAAAGTTGCCTATATATTCTATGTAGATATGCGCGTGTATGTCATGTAAGAAGCCAGTTCTTATGATAAGATCGAGATCAGATTTGATAATATTGCTAGGAATATTGCTTACCCATGAAATGAAAAATACATTAATAAGTGACAGTGATGACTTTAGGAATTGTTGATCACATATCGAGCTACAGCGACTTGGTATTATGCATTGTATTGTATCCTTTCTGTGTAAATTGATCTAGTTCAGGTACAGGTAGATACATGGATTTTATCTACGTTTACGCAAGTGTGTGTTGTGCTGGACCTGCAGACAATGATATGACATCGTTTGATTGTTTTCAGGTGAGTTTAAAGGCAGCACCAAGATATCGATCCTCATCTTGTGTACGTTACACGTGCATGTAAGATTATTTCATACACAAAAAGGACATTCAAGATTCGTGTGTGTAAACCAATATGAAACGTTTTGCTGGTACATTGAAACACATTAATACAGTTGAAGTTTTACCTAATCCTGCATGTTAGAGCACACTGAGGTTTCTGCATTGATCGCAGGTCTAGTATAAATCTTGAAGATGAACGACATTATCTGTTGAACAAGTGACCCAAAGATGTGGGGATACATAATTTAGGAAATGATATATGCAAAACCTGGATAATATAATTACCCATTGGCAGGGTGATATAATTTAGTTATTTAGACGAGCTTAAAACAATCATCTTTGTGATGGAAACAATGAGGAACATGAATAAATATGCCCCAGCCAACACAGAACACTCATACAAACAACATGGTTGATACTGAGCTATCATTAAGACGTGTGATGAGATTATCAGCCTAAACTAGAGCAGCAGCCTCTTCAGTGACATTCTAAACAATACTCAGAACTCTTTATATAACGTCATGTACTTCCAGTAGGATGCCATTTTTCACAGCTTTTTTACGTTAAATGCAATTATATTATATAAAAGAAGAAAGCCTTACATACCGTGTATTTGGTCGTTACTTCAGAAACATTCGCCTTCAAGTGAGGAACCTATCACTAATGATCTTTACTGTTTGTGTTTGTCTGTCGCCAATGGATACATCGGCTTACGCTGGTTTATTTGTCATTATGACTTTACTCTGAAAAGAGTACCATCAAAAGGAGGTATGTGACATACTATTTGATCATTATTTGTAAATATTTCCAACACAGTTAAGGTTATGTAAATCTTGACACAAACACTTGACCGATTACTTTTAGATTTTTTCCGAAATATCCTGTGCCACAAAAGTATGGGATGGTGTGAATAATGAAGACAATGTGATGCAAATGGAAATGATAGTACTATATCTGCTTGGTAGAAGGTGATCAGATGGTGAGGTACCGCCAGACCGACAACCGAGTTAATTTGCTCATTTCAGACCCTTCTAGTACGTCGGCCTGGCGCAACATTTAGCCTTTGCCAATTTAAAAGAATTAGCGAAACAATGGCAGTGGGGCGTTAAATCTGGGGACATGTCAAAAACAGTTATTTACGGCTGGCAAGATGGTCGTACATTCGTTTATTTATTCATACAATTAATCAATCACTAGCACTTTTTAAACATTTATTTTAAGCACTTTTCATACATACAGTTACATACATTTATTTAAAGCACTTTTCATACATTTCATGGTTATGACCTGCTCCTTGTTTGGTCAAGATGTCGTGTACTTCAGTTCAGTTCTTTATTCACCAACTCCACTCACAGGGTCCACAGTACATACAGTTATATAGTGATACATGATATTGACACGAGGCAATATCATTAAAGTTTTGAAAGATTTACATAAATACATGTAATATATTTGCTTAACTTATCAACAACTGTGTAATTCCTTCCCATAAAAAGACTATGCAGTTCAACGTAAATAGGTTTTGTTCAACAGTACTTTGGTAATAACTTGTTTCTATCTGCTTATAAAGAATTGCACTAAAAATATGGTGGTACTCATCACCCACTTCGCCGGAGTTACACATCAAACACTTTCGGTCATTAAAAGGCACATGATGCCAGCGTCCTACTTCAACAGGAAGCCCAGTATTACCAGTTCTAAACTTCAAAAGAGGTTGTGAAGCTCTAACTGATAATAAAATGTAGTCTAGTCTTCAGCAACAACAAAAAAAGGTTTTATACAATCATGTTTTACCTTAAAACGATAAAGATATTTCATATTGCCTTGTGTTATAAACTGTACAACTGTCAACTGTTTGTAATTTACGTGTAAGTTTATTTTGATTTGCATTATCTACAAGTTTACACCAATAGGATAATACTCTTTTTTCACAATAATACTTAAGGGCAGGCGTCCCGTCTCGCCGTATAACATATAAGCCGGGATACTTTTACGTAAATGAAGCACCTTCTTAATGAACAGTCTATGAACTAATTCTAACTTTTCAAACCTACTAGGGCTCCGATACCGTTGACAGTCTTGCAGGACAGGTCCTCAACAAACATCCCCGCGACTGCCAGGAATGTCTCTTCTTATTGCTCTTGAACATGTATCCTTGATGAACTAATGTTCTTCCTCTACGGTTGGATCGAATTAACTAAGATCTACGTGTGCGTGAGCCATGATTGCGAATGGTGTGGTAAATATATCATCCCTTTATTTATACTCTTTTGGAAACTGTCCACAACTGTAAATTCAGTAAGTGGGGAACTCGTTAATTAAGCCATGAGTTAGTACTCACTAAAGTGGTGAACTCGTCATGAGCTGAGACGACTTCCGTACTGTCAAAACAATGCTAGTTGGCGTTAATTACTTCAAAGGCCACCGGCAAGTCGGCCTGGCGCACCTCTCTGCATGTCTATTTGGTTCAAATGTCTGCCTGACGGGACGCCCCCGATCAGATATGTCATGAACCAATTCTTCGAAGTATGCTTCGGATAAGTTGACTATTGTCTTCTTGACTTATGCTGTTCCATTCATCAGGGAGCGGTGGGGTAGCCTAGTGGATAAGGCGTTCGCTCGTCACGCCGAAGGAAGGCTAGTTCAGTATAAATGTTGCTAGCCCACATCATACTTCACTAGCTCGGCAAAATATCAATATCGAAATGCACATCTTTCAGAATTAGTGTGATGTTTGGTAATTGAAGAATGATGTTAAATGTTACATTCGTATTGTATTGGTTGCTAACCTATTTTGCACAACGCTGTTAACATTTTTAAATAACGATCTTCGTGTGACAAGAGATGATAAATATCACGAATGGTTTGCGGACGAACTTTTAATACCTTAATAATTGACTTCATCATATTCATGTGAATGAAGTAGAGAATAAATTATCTGAGATTTCCAGCTGGCCAGTCGGGATAGCTTTAACAATATATCACTGGCCCGATTCACAATCAGCTAACATTTGGCTAGCGGGCCAGTAGCTATTTCGAAGGCTGTATCCGAGGACACTAGCTTCATAGCGTAGTGTTAAGGATAATCCTGCCTTTCATCCCTTGTTCTCCTTTATATACTCTCCCAGGGGATATACAAATGTTATTGTCGATCGTAAGACGAAAGATCAGCTTTGGAAAAAGTATGCCGGAGGTTAGAAGGTTTCATAACAAATCTTATATCTTAACACAAACGAAGCGTTGAACATAAATACATTGGTCAATGTAATGTTGGAATACTTTGTTCAAAGCTGTAAAACGTTTGGCAAAACACTTTATTAATGCAGACCTCAACATTCTATTTGCTCTCACTGGCAAACATTTGATCATATACGCTCCTTCGCCACCAACCGTAGTCTCTTGACACTTGATTGAGACTATATTCTTTATTGTAAAACATCAATCTTTGGTCAGTGCTTTTTGTTTACAACCTCATCCATTCATCCAGTCAATGTTAAACCATATACTGATCGTCAATAAAGGAACAGACATACATGGCTTCTTGTGTTGACTAACGACACTATGTCTCCAAAACCAAATACACTAGGAACAATTCATAAATAGCCGACATCCTGATGTGTCTGAATTAAACAAAAGAATGCCCAGTTATCATTCTATATGGACGAATACAGACAATCACAATATGACAGTGAATATGACTACACAAACGTACAAACTGGATATGCTCCTTCTTCGTGAATTCTTGTCTCTGTTGAGACCAGCACGTTGTTTTGCTACAAGGCATTTGATCAATATTGATCATTAATCACACGAGAAAAATTGTGCAGTTCAAATATACTCTGGACAAATACTTCTTCACAACACTACAATATCAGAATCATTTGTAGTTATTTGACCCCATGTGAATAACTCTCCTTTCATACATTTTGTTTGATACCTTGAGGTGTATTTCGATTTGTGTTCAGTCTGATGAAGTATAAAGATGGCATCTGAGGTGACCAGATGGATTCGGATACTTATTTCACAAACATACATAGGCGATTTCTGTAGATTTAGGTTCATGAAAAACTTGGTATGGTAACACATGCACGAGACTGATTGGTTGAACTTTGAGCTTTGATCACAAGCAATGCCTTTTGCTTATAATGATTGTATATTCTCTGAAACAAAACGGTGGACATGATGCTTTGACATCCGAACATAAATGTATCAGAAATTACATAGACGCCTTATATAAAATCTTGTGTCTTGACAGATGAAAATGAAGTTAAATTGAAATTAATAATGTATGCATCCTGACACACACAAATAATAGACTCATGCTAACCTTCTTGATCTTATGTAGTTCAAAGAAGGAAAGAGGATCAGATTTGATAAAAAATAACTACGAAGGATCGACAAAATAAACTGACGTTAAACGCTCATTTCTCTAGTTCCAACGTTACAGAAAGCCTGTCAATTCTTATGTTATGAATTAATATGACTTTTAAATATTAAACCCTGTTGCGCTGAAAGAAAGTTCGTGTCAAGGTCACCACTAGCTGTTCTATATGGATGAAACCTACATGTGATGATATCTAACACCTGCGATATCCAAAAATGGTACGTTTTCGGGAATTCGCTAGCAATGATTGTTAGTTATGATATCTGTGATTGGCGCGCACTTTAAGTACAGTCAACACGGTAGTCCCTTGCTAGTATGGCAGAAACAGCTTGCCGAGTTGTTGGTAATTCAGGTTGTTTCATATACTAACGACCAAAAGAAACTTTACAATTTAAAAAGAAAACAATTGGAGTTAAAAGTAGTTTGTAGGTCCGCAAACTAATGAAAACACATCGCTACAGCACGTGAAGCGCATGTTTTGCATGTAAAGATAATGAAAATGCGAAAAGATCAAAACCACGTAAAAACTGATTCTACCATGGCTACGTGAAATGCTCGATTTTGATTGGTCAATCAATAAAATTAGACGCTATCAATTTTGGATTGAAAATTCGTCTGATTTCATGACCGCTTCACTGCGCACGTATACAACACTGCCGCATCAGCTTGACCACCAACATGGCTAATATCAACACAACAGACGTGATGGAAATGCTGATAAAACATTTATTAAAACTCGAAAAATACAATTATTATATGATTTTTCCTCCACAATTATTAGGGAACCTCACTATCATATAACCTTCTATAATAAAAATATTCAAACTCAATTACAATACACAGCCCCAAACATAAACAAACAATATCTAACATGTAAATCAGAAAGCCTTGTAAATTTCATCCCTATCTATACAAAATGTGCAGCAAATCCTTACTAAACATTTACCTACCTGGTAAATGGTATATTTGTTTCCGTTTAGAATCATAAGAATGGGAAATTCGCAAGATAACGGTCAGGCGAAACACAAAATTTATGCCACTCACACTCCATCATGTCCCGTTGCATCGTTCAAAAAATACATGTAAAAAATTGAACCACCAGAATTCTGCTCTCTGCCAGCTTCCCCACAAGGCTGTCACTGCTGGTGATCTATGTTCGTACACTTTGAAAAAGTTTGGCCACAATCCAGTCCCAAATGATGAAAACAATGTTCCAAGGAATCCCAAGTTAGTCGCATGTACACAAAGCAGCACTGTCACTCTTTTCGTCGCATGCCGGGGTGGAGGCACCTACAGCCTATGTAAGTGAAATCATGATCCACACTCGCTGGTCATACAAATCTTTGAATAGTTACAGGTCGTAGGTCGATCAGAAAAGGATCTATTCTTCGATTCTGCAGGGTTCAGATTCGACAGTCAGTCAAGTATTTTCCACTGTCACTCAAAATGTAAACACTGGCTGTCCGCCATTTCAAACTGTTGCGTAACTGTCAACAACTACAGACTGCACTTCCAAGAAAAATAAGTAGGTCAGACGATTCCATTATAGTGTGGCCAGGGGGTTAGAGTAACACGGCACGCAAAACAATAGGCTGGTTTCGGTCGTGTGGAGTTGGGATTATATAAACCAAGCTCTTAGGTATTACATTATTGCATTGAATAAACAGTAGTTAGTTTTCTTTGGACAGAATATTATATATGTTGCAATGTTTAAAAAATACGAACGGCACCTTCCACTCCCTTCACAGACGAGTTCAATTCGCCTCTCGCACCATGCCGGATTTCGCAGTGTCTTCCGCGGAAGGAAGGAGTTCGATTTTAAATCGGTTATGGTAGAATGGAGATAAACGTATTGTGTTGGAAAATTAGATGAATGTTAGGCAGAATTGATAGTCTCTAAATTAATCATTTGAAACCTCACGCTACGCGTTCGGTTCCAAATGAAATTTAGAGACTATCAATTCTGCCTAACATTCATCTAATTTCCCAACACAGTTCGATTCCCGCTCATCTATCCGTTGTCGTAATGAGTCTATTTCCCGCTGCATGGTCGCATACTGATTCACGAATCCAAACGAACGAGCGAAGACGCAGAAGAAGATTGTTCCTATGAGGCAGGTGATGAACAGAATCACTCCCAGGCAGATAAGTGTGATTCCAAGGACGACACTGACTGTCGTGTATGGCTCACATTTGGCAGCGACGTCCTGATTGGTTGAAATACATTCACCAACTGCCCACCCCGTGGCCCCGAACTGGAGCGAGGCGAAGGTCAGGCATAAAATGTTCATGACATAGTTCACCAAAACCTGAAAAGGAAGTTATACGCATGTCACACTTGAATTTGAAAAACAAAACAAACAAAAACACCAACAAAACAAAAAAACGCAACAAAACAAACAAACTTATGAAATTGTATATGTAGAGATTTAAACAAATATTGAGAATGATATGTTATGTATACCTAGGCCTTTCTTGATCTATACAGTCGTAGTTTGCATTGGCCAATCCATTTAGTGACCTTGACCTTGACTTTACCAGTGTTAACGTAAGGGGGACATTTTATCCCCCGTGTTAAGAACACGTCATATTACGCCACGTGTTCGTGGGTACATAAATATGGCACGAGAGCCCACCCGTTCGCTGTTGGCAATGGCATCCCTTGTTCATGCTAGACACCTTTGGTTGTGGGTTCGAATCCCGATCACCTCCAATATGTTCCCGGGTTGGTGGGCTTCACTAGAGTGTATGAATACACAATGCCACTTGAAAGTGGTCAAACGTAACATATTATGTTTGGGATTACACAGTAAAGTACAGATTCCAGTACGTTTGTTACGTCGCGTCCCACACGGGATTCGAACCCACACTTTCAGAGTCAGGCATCTAATCGCCAGCACACAAAGTCAGCCATCTAACCCACCCAGCCAGCGCAGCTTCCACAGTACTAAAGTACTGTCGGAAAAAAGAATAAAACAACAACTGTTTTTAGGCTGTTACTCTGTATCCCTAAAATTGACACAATTGCTAATAGCCTATGTCGAAATAACCCACATCGGCCTAACTGTGCGTTCAGTGGGATGCTTACTAGGATATCCAGAAAACCATGTAAAATCGGGCAAAACATAGAACAAATACGAATAGCTGCTGAAAACAATAGATCACACTATAGATGGCAATTAGGTCGCTCAGCCAGTTGATTCACCTGGCATGAAATGCATGTGCTGCCTACAGGCACAAGGGGTCATCTCAAAGACATTTATGCTTTTTCATGTGTGTTGAATATGTCTCATCTATTGATTAACATTTTACGTGTACCTGTATTTCTTACATAAGATTTATGCTGAGAGATGTAAAAGAGTATGATACCCATAGAAAAGCTTAAATCAGCCATCATATTAAATGTCTCAAAATACTTGTATATTGGTGGCATGACCACTCGAAGATCGACAGGACTGGATATTATTTTAATTGTTGTGGCATGCCGTTTATTTCCACAGTTTAATTCCCCTAAATCATTATCTTATCTTAGCTGATATCACTATCCTCCAGCCCGACCCCAACCACCGTCTGCGACACCCGTCCTGGTTTTGCTTTTGAGACGACCCCTCCTACCTGTTCTTTTATAGTGATAGCGAGACTCCATGGTAGCTATATCCATCCTTAATAGTTTCAGTATTAAAGTTATTATTTTGTACGTCAGCTATCGTTTATAATGAAGGTAAGTCTAATTTCAAAATGGGCATTTAGAAAGTGTCCTTTGTAATACTATATCATCGCACACTAATTTGCATAAAGCCATGGTCTGTTCCAAATAAGTCACTTTGGACTTGAGAAAAACTCCGCATTGATAATTTCGGCACTAATCTCTCCCCAGTAAAGTCCTCCGTTTACGTTTCCTATCTCCTTACCACTGATATTGTAGTTAGGCCGAACTTAGTTTTAACAGATATTTCACACTTTCACATATTAACTGCATAAATTGTAGATATCAAAGTGAAAAATACGGGGTTTTATTTCCGACAGTACTTTAGAATCTGTATTTTACTGAAAAACTGTAATCCCAAATATAGCATATGTTACATTTCCGCAAAGTGGTAGACGATCTTCGTCATTTCGGTGTTTCCCCCAACATTAAACCGACATGATGTGATATTGGTTGATTGATAGATTGATGGTTGTCTTATCATTGCTGGGGGAGCTGAACGATCTGTAATTCACCTCATTTTAGAAGACATTTTATGCCGCTTCAACCAAATTGTAACAAACAGATGAAGGGAGCTAAAACAAGATTGGTGCAATGCATTAAAAACAGCAGTCCAGTAATAGACCGATCCAGTCCCGGCCGATAAGCTCCGCCCACTTCGTTTTTGACTTTAGGGGGGACAACCACTGACAAATCACAATGGCGTCACCGCCGGCGAAACGTTACGTGATTGCGAACGTTGTTGATGAATTCTGCTCGTGATACTTTGGTATCCGTCGTTTGTGAATGTTATTTAAAGAGGCAAGTTATACGTATGTGATTTTTATTATATTATAGCTGGCAGATTGCAACTGGCGAGTGAAAATGAGTTACATGCCCGATAAAAATCGTCTCGACTAGCTGCTGAGACTGTAGGAAGCGTAATTTCTTTCGAATCAATTAATCTATCTGGCAATTCACCTCCGTCACAGATATTAGCAGGGGAAGGGTAACTGAAATTTTGTTGTTTGAGTTTATAATTTTATAAAACTCGTGAACACAACCACATGTTCATGTTGCAGATCGTTTTGGTATCTATAAATAGATTATCAACACTGCGCGTGGCGCCTTTACTTATCCGTTGGCGTTGTTCAAATTTAGTTCAATAATCTGAAAACATGGGTTTCTATATTTTAATGAATTAAGAGAATGGTAAATAAAAAGCAGAAAATATTTCCCGTGTACTACTTCATGCACTTTATTTGTCTGTATATAATTTATGTAAACAAATCAATCACATTTGGAAATCTGGAAAAGTAATTGGGCTTGTAAACAGTATGTTCCCATGGATGTATCTAGATCTGGACATACCCAGATGCAAATATTCAACAGCTGATCTGCAGCAATTCTCAGTAAAGTTTCTCTCTTCAAAATCTGTACACCATGATAAACTGACACTGAATATAAGGAAATCATTTTTTTAATCATTTCCATTTTACTTTTCTATATGTACTTTGTTGTTGAATCCTAATTTACATACAAACTTCCACAATACTGGACTTCATGAACTGCCAGCGTTTATGTACAGGTATGTCACAGTACCAGAACACCAAAAAAATCCAAGATACAGTCTGCACCTGTACACTAGCTGAGCCATCTTCCAGAAATAGGAAACATGTGATGCAAAATCTTGGAACAGAGGATCCACAGTTATCCGAACAATTAACTAGCATTAAAATAGAATGTTACACAAAATGCAAATGTAGATCTATTGTTTTTTCATCAGAGACGTTTAACTGCTAACTACTAGTGTAAATAAGGTGCAAAGAATATTTCCTATGTTCAAAGCTTTTTGTCAATACAATTACATATTGACATTATTGCTTCTTAATTAAACAATGATAATCTTTGTTTTATTAGATCTGAGACCATATCCCTAGAGGACATAACACTGATTTTGATCTATTTCCTTTTCTGAGATACTTACTGGTGTCATAAAAATTATTGTGAAGTTGATTCAAAATTTGGTAAAAGTCAAAACAAAGGTTTAGGAAAACAGACATGAAAATGTCCTGAAGCATTCACCTCCTACAAACCAGTGTGCAATTTAATATGAAGCTCATTTTCCAAATAACCACCAACAAACCTTGAACAATTTGTCAAAATCCATCATCTTAATAAACACTAGCTTTGGCTCAGTCTTCAAATATTGATAACCTCTTAAAAACTGATGATTTATCAGAAGAATTACATCAAATATGGGTTAAATATATGTTTCAATATTTATTCCGTTACATGAAAAGTCAACTGAGATTTTTGTAAGTTATTCTGATCCAGGGCCTAGATTTTCGAAGCTCTCTTAGCACTAAGATAGTCGTAAGTTAATGTTAATGCATTGCACTTCCGACTATCTTCGCGCTAAGAGAGCTTCGAAAATCTAGGCCCTGCTGGACTGGATAATGCATGACCAGGGTTTGACCAAAACGTAGCCTTTGCTTTTTCAAATTCTCTGGATGTTGAAATAACTTTAATGAGTTATGATACTAGCAATCACTTTAAGAATTATATTATTAGTAAATGTAGTATTTAAAAAAACATCTAAAAGCAGGAGCCAAGAAACTAAGTTAATACCAAGTGATTGTCCTGCCATGATATGTATGGTGTTTGTTTGCCTAGTTCTGCCTTAAAATCATAAGAATCTGATATGTCAATCAATTAAATAATTATTTATTATTGATTAGATTATTATTAATTTTATTACCCTTCCACGTTTACTAAAGAAAGCAAGATTCTTAAAACATACCTTGCTATCATTTCCAGTGAATTAATCAAAATTACAGTTGTAATATTACTCCTAAAATGTACCAATATATGTGAATAATTGATGTGGTAACAAAACTTCGAATAATGTTCTCATAATTAAGATATACACTTTATTTCACTCCGTCCAATACTCCAGAAAGTCGATCACTATTCTTCTCACATAGTTTTCGTATTCGATCAACATGGAGGAAGGTAATTCAATTCAAAGTCCCATGCAACTCTATATAAAAAAGCTGAAATATTTAAAGCATGGTTTTATAGGCACTCCTATGTATTTATTTTGATACTTGGATATTGCATGATAGGCAACTTCTGACACTGACAATATTTCCGTTTGAATAAAAAATATTACTCCTCGAATATTTTGCTCTGTTAACAAGATACTGTAGGCCTTCAGATTGTGCTTATGAAACTTTAAAACATCCTAAAATGTGTGACAAATTGAAGAATATCTAAGAGCGAAGGGGACAATATCCGCCACATTGTTCTTTCATGTAACAAGTTTTGCTATTTCGGTTGACCGTAACCGAAATGGAGATTTGTTTACATTGTGTCACGGCTTTCTCGCCTGTCTCATTTGAGCTTTATGGCGTACCAACTCAATGCCTAATAGTGATTTTTTGGTTGCATGTGACCTTTAAGCAAAAACAATTTTGTAGTTACGAGAATTGTCCGTGTTTATAACACTTGCAAAGTCTGGTAATGATTTTGCACATGTGCAAAAGTGTGGAAATTCGTGCAAATTCTCATCAGCAGGCAGACGTAGGTTTCCTGAACGATGGTGCAGACATTTAACTGATCGTTAGGCCTATCGCGTTTCTTGATCCGCCTCCATTTATGTTGTCTTGACCGTAATGGTTTGTTAAAGGTACACATCAAATCGCAGCTATATGTAATAATTATAGCGAGTGTAAATGGCATAATTCGAAGCACATCGCTTCGGAGGCATCGTTTGACCCCGGAAATAAGTCCGACAAATCCACACATCGCGCCCGGCCTGCTGATTGGCCAAATTTTACGCATACGCCAGTTTTGATTGACAGACTGGATCGGTCTATTGACATCATGAGCACCGATGTACACATTTGGGATACGATGACATGTGTCAGCCAAGTCAGCGAACCTGACCACCCGATCCCATTTAGTCGCCTCTTACGACAAGCATAGGGTTACTGAAAACCAATTCTAAGTCAGATCTTCATGGGTGGTAGACAGTGGGAGCAGTGGTGATACGGCGATGTGTCCCATCAAGGGTTGTGTTTGAAGGTCTGGGGAGCGGCGACCAATTCTGTGACGGTTATTGGATTGTCCTCATGACTAAATGATAGGAAATAAATAGAATAAGATAATAATAAATAATTCCGGGAGCAAACTTACGTGTCTTTTCACTAGAATTTCAGCATTTTCCAAAACGACACTGTTCGTAGCTTTTATGCCGGATATACTTCCAACCAGCACCTAGAACAGTAACGAAATGTTGATGAGGACATGGGATACCAACAGACCTTTTCAAGTTGGTTGATTTGTTGTTTAACGCCGCACTCAGCAATATTCCAGCTCTATGGCGGTAGTCTGTACATAATCGAGTCTGGACTTGACACTCCAGTGATCAACAGCATGAGCATCAATCTACGCCTTTTCAAGTATAGCATCATTCGACTACACACCGGTCACTAACCTACACATTCGAATAACGTAATAATAAATATTATACACTTTCTTTTGGAAATCTCAGGAATTGGAGTGAAAATGGAAGGGTTGAAAAGGCTTTGATGCACAGGGGCGGTGGGGTAGACTAGTGGTTAAAGTGTTCGCTCGTTACGCCGAAGACCTAGAATCGATTCCCCACATGGGTACAATGTGTGAAGCATATTTCTGGTGTCCCCTGCTGGAATATTGCTAAAAGCGGCGTAAAACCATACTCACTCACTCACTTTGATGCACACATATTTACATGTAGAAATCTGTAAATAATGCCTCTTTTAGTTAGTTGTTCATATATTCTCTGATTGTGTGATCTTGTAAGGTTGTAGGGTTCTTTAGTAGGGTGTTCGAGTGGCGTGACATTATACTTACTAATATTCCCGTGATGAGAGCGTATCCATTTATCTGTGGATAGTTTGGATTTGTTAAAGCCACGCCCATTGAAGCTATTCCAACGACTATACATGGTATGCTGGTGAAAAACTGAACAAACGACAACCTTCGCAGATGTCGCGCACCCTTGTCTCGGAAGTCCTTGCCGTCGGGGGTGTTACACGCTGAAACATGACAAACAGGAGGGGGCTTATCGTCTTGTACCAGCAGTCATATGCATAACAAGTTGTTCACTGCGGGGCATGGGTTGATGTACCCGCTATGGAACATAAACACACATAACGATGGGCCCCAAGAGACCAGTGAACAACGAATTTATCTACACGAACACGACATTCGTAAGCCTATGATAAACTATAGAGTTACAACAGGTCGTAACGTTACGAACGCTTTGTGGATTAGGATCATGGTCTCTTCTCGTATTGTGGTGAGATGATAGAAATAAACATAAATTCAAGCCCAAATCTTGACATCAACTCTACATGTGATAACAACGGTATTACTTTTACCGTCAGACGTACTGTGGTACTAGTATTGGACATGTTATCTTCTCACTATTAGACGCACTGTGGTACTAGTATTGGACATGTTTTCTTCTCACTGTTAGACGCACTGTGGTACTAGTATTGGACATGTTATCTTCTCACTGTTATACGCACTGTGGTACTAGTATTGGACATGCTATCTTCTCACTGTTAGACGTACTGTGGTACTAGTATTGGACATGTTATCTTCTCACTGTCAGACGTACTGTGGTACTAGTATTGGACATGTTATCTTCTCACTGTTAGACGTACTGTGGTACAAGTATTGGACATGTTACCTTCTCACTGTCTGACGTACTGTGGTACTAGTATTGGACATGTTATCTTCTCACTGTCAGACGTACTGTGGTACTAGTATTGGACATGTTATCTTCTCACTGTTCAGACGTACTGTGGTACAAGTATTGGACATGCTATCTTCTCACTGTTAGACGCACTGTGGTACTAGTATTGGACATGTTATCTTCTCACTGTTAGACGTACTGTGGTACTAGTATTGGACATGTTATCTTCTCACTGTCAGACGTACTGTGGTACTAGTATTGGACATGTTATCTTCTCACTGTTGTTAGACGTACTGTGGTACTAGTATTGGACATGTTATCTTCTCACTGTTAGACGTACTGTGGTACTAGTATTGGACATGTTATCTTCTCACTGTCAGACGTACTGTGGTACTAGTATTGGACATGTTATCTTCTCACTGTTAGACGTACTGTGGTACAAGTATTGGACATGCCATCATCTCTGTCAGACGTACTGTGGTACTAGTATTGGACATGTTATCTCTCACTGTCAGACGTACTGTGGTACTAGTATTGGACATGTTATCTTCTCACTGTCAGACGTACTGTGGTACTAGTATTGGACATGTTATCTTCTCACTGTTAGACGTACTGTGGTACAAGTATTGGACATGTTATCTTCTCACTGTCAGACGTACTGTGGTACTAGTATTGGACATGTTATCTTCTCACTGTCAGACGTACTGTGGTACTAGTATTGGACATGTTATCTTCTCACTGTCAGACGCACTGTGGTACTAGTATTGGACATGTTATCTTCTCACTGTCAGACGTACTGTGGTACTAGTATTGGACATGTTATCTTCTCACTGTCAGACGTACTGTGGTACTAGTATTGGACATGTTATCTTCTCACTGTTAGACGTACTGTGGTACTAGTATTGGACATGTTATCTTCTCACTGTCAGACGTACTGTGGTACTAGTATTGGACATGTTATCTTCTCACTGTTAGACGTACTGTGGTACTAGTATTGGACATGTTATCTTCTCACTGTTAGACGTACTGTGGTACTAGTATTGGACATGTTATCTTCTCACTGTTAGACGTGCTGTGGTACTAGTATTGGACATGTTATCTTCTCACTGTTAGACGTACTGTGGTACTAGTATTGGACATGTTATCTTCTCACTGTTAGACGTACTGTGGTACAAGTATTGGACATGCTATCTTCTCACTGTGTGACGTACTGTGGTACTAGTATTGGACATGTTATCTTCTCACTGTTAGACGTACTGTGGTACTAGTATTGGACATGTTATCTTCTCACTGTCAGACGCACTGTGGTACTAGTATTTGACATGTTATCTTCTCACTGTTAGACGTACTGTGGTACAAGTATTGGACATGTTATCTCTCACTGTTAGACGTACTGTGGTATAGTATTGGACATGTTATCTTCTCACTGGCAGACGTACTAGTATTGGACATGTTATCTTCTCACTGTTAGACGTACTGTGGTACTAGTATTGGACATGTTATCTTCTCACTGTTAGACGTACTGTGGTACTAGTATTGGACATGTTATCTTCTCACTGTCAGACGTACTGTGGTACTAGTATTGGACATGTTATCTTCTCACTGTTAGACGTACTGTGGTACTAGTATTGGACATGTTATCTTCTCACTGTCAGACGTACTGTGGTACTAGTATTGGACATGTTATCTTCTCACTGTTAGACGTACTGTGGTACTAGTATTGGACATGTTATCTTCTCACTGGCAGACGTACTGTGGTTCTAGTATTGGACATGTTATCTTCTCACTGTTAGACGTACTGTGGTACTAGTATTGGACATGTTATCTTCTCACTGGCAGACGTACTGTGGTACTAGTATTGGACATGTTATCTTCTCACTGTTAGACGTACTGTGGTACTAGTATTGGACATGTTATCTTCTCACTGTTAGACGTACTGTGGTACTAGTATTGGACATGTTATCTTCTCACTGTTAGACGTACTGTGGTACTAGTATTGGACATGTTATCTTCTCACTGTGTAGACGTACTGTGGTACTAGTATTGGACATGTTATCTTCTCACTGTTAGACGTACTGTGGTACTAGTATTGGACATGTTATCTTCTCACTGTTAGACGTACTGTGGTACTAGTATTGGACATGTTATCTTCTCACTGTCAGACGTACTGTGGTACTAGTATTGGACATGTTATCTTCTCACTCAGACGTACTGTGGTCCTAGTATTGGACATGTTAGACGTAATCTTTTCACTGTGTACTGTGGTACTAGTATTGGACATGTTATCTTCTCACTGTCAGACGTACTGTGGTACTAGTATTGGACATGTTATCTTCTCACTGTTAGACGCACTGTGGTACTAGTATTTGACATGTTATCTTCTCACTGTCAGACGTACTGTGGTACTAGTATTGGACATGTTACCTTCTCACTGTTAGACGCACTGGGATACTAGTGTACCTGTACCAGCCAGAGAGAGGATATCAATGCATAGTTACAAAGGACGTGTAAGAAATAACATGATAAATATATTTAGAAACAAACACAGAAACTAAGATTTAGCATAATAAAGGCGAAGCTGATAGGATACTAGTAGAGCCTTACTCAATCAAGTTAAACGTTACATTTGTATTGTATTGGTTCCTTACCTCTCTTGCGCAACGTTATTGACATTTTTTATATGCCGATCTTCGTGTGACGCGGTTTATTACAAAACTTATGCAGACGGGCTTTTAAAACCTTAATATTTAACTTCATGATATTCATGTGCATTAAATAAAGAACAAAATATCTGCGATTTTCAGGTAGATAGTCGGGATAGCTTTAACAATATATTACTGGCCTGATTCTCAGTCAGCTGGCATTTGGCTAGCGGACCAGCAGCTATTTCGAACGCTGTTCATATGTCGTGTTTACAGTGTTATCATTACAGCGTGCAGTATTTACCTCTTATTTCGGCTATCATTTTGATCACTATTTAAATTTCTAACATATCGTTCATTTCATACGTGTTCTCAATACTGAACTGAAGCAGTTCCATCAAATCAATGTATACACTTTTGTGGCATAGCCGTCAGCCCTGTTAATATACTGGACCGCCCCACCAATATTGTTTATTACAACTCTATCCATGGAAATATTTGTCTCACCTTTGCTCCTGGTCTGAACGAGGAACATATTTCGGTGAAAGTACTATATATCCTAGATGTGGCACAGACTTTGACCTACATCCGTATACAATATCAACTTCTGTCACGAAGTCTGAATCCTGTACTGAACAATTCTGCTACTTGCTGAAAGGTATACTTACTGGCGCCCGTATAGCAGACACAGCCGATGTCCTCCATGGCTGGTTGTGAAGGTACACAGTTGAACAGAGATGTTGGGCTCAACAGCGGTATCTGAGACACGAGGTGGTATCCCTGGAGATATCACTGGGTCAGATTACTGTGTTTACACACGAGGTAGTGACACCGAACTAAATATAATACCACTGTATATCAGCTGCCTATCAGTTGACTGATAATGTCTGAAGAAGGGAGACAGTTTCATTATTGAGGTAGTAATTTCCATACATCTACCTTATTCCGGGTGTTAAAGGGTAATACACAAATATTTGATTGATATTTTCTGTAAATGGTTTTTTTTCTGGATTGCTTGGCAGTTCTTAGCTCTCAGAATCCTTGTTGTCATAAAGAGAAATCAGGAGAGATTCGATAAAATATAAATTGAATTTGAATCTAAAACCGTCATCAGTGTGGCGAGTGAACGCCTTAACCCATATGTTTCTCCACATTAGCGGCCTAAAATGAGGTTACATATTAAACAGTGTGTTGAGACATTGTCATTTGTTTGAAGAAGCAAGTAGCCCATTTGATGTTCAGAATGCATGCATATGTCAGTCCATAACATAAGAAAAAATAATTTGATATGAACATGATGTTCCTTTCCTTCTGAGAGTTAAACTGTTAAGTCTCTATGATTTCATTCAGTGCACAGGCTGGTGAGGCAGTCAGCGTCAGCTATTGCATTTCAGCACGGGAGCGTCCTCGAACGGTGTTGTTCCACTTATCGTTGCATGTATGCCCGGTTTCCCGGACACATAAACCCATATAATATAGTCAGGGTGCGCTGCTCATGAAACCAGGCCGTCAATTGTAGGTTAATACATGTTATCAGTTTGTTTACGTCGGAGGTTTGAGGGCAAGGTCAACTTCGTCACACGTGTCGTCACGGAAAAGAAATTTGAGCAAGCCGATTTGTGCAACGTATGTGGCGAACGACAGCCGCTTTATGACTTTTAACCATATTAATGGTGTTGACAAAATAAATTTTGGTTGTATCACTTAAAAGTGTCATTCCAGGCCACCATGGACGTTTATTGTAGCCTCTGAACAAATAGCGTTGGTTTAAGCTGGAATGATTATTGCACCAAATGCCTGATCCAAGTCTGCGCATGCTTTCTAGGCCTCTTTACGTTTACATAACGAAACATGGTGTAATGTAATGAAAACCGCCGCCTCAGCATCCCGGCCTCTGTCGGCCACGGCACTGGCCTAGATGACTCACTCGCATTTCTGTCGGAGGTCAGGGTCTGACGGGGCTTTTCCTGTGTCTCAACATTATTTTTGAAACTGAGAACAGACCAAATATCTCGGCATGTTCGCACCACACTGAACCTAATCGGCTATATGAGCCACTATGAACACTGACTTCCGCTTTTGCGCTATAACCTCTAGTGCATCTGCGCCATCTAGCGAGAAAATTCGGAGGGTGTCTCCTATTCTCGTGTTGTTGACGTTTTGATCCTCCACAATGGCTCATCTTCACATCTATTTTCTGATGTGTTTCTTAGTTACAACTCTGACATACGGACAAGATAACATCATTGCCGTGATTAACCACGTTAAAGTGTTACAGAAGGATATCAACCAAATGAAGGAGGAAGTTCCACGGTTTGAGACACAAGTGCTCAGCAAGATAGGGATGCTGGAGTTGATGCTACGTGCTGACCTGATGGAGAAGATAGTACCGTCGTTTATACAGAGTCAGGTCGAACAGTCCTTGAAGCAAATACTCAGTGAACAGCCTTTTGATGCAATGGTACGAAACTACATGTACTCACAGGTTAAGCATCTTAAGCAAGCATATCAAGTGATGAAGGCACAAGTGCAAAGTCTCGGCAGGCATATGAGACAAAAGAAGACAACGAAGAACATTCCAGGCCATACCATAAAATGTGACTGCCAGAATTCTGAAAGTAAGATAAATATGCAATATTCTGATATTCCTGGAGTGATGAACAGTTCTGAGCAGACCCAGACAGAGAAGTTAGTGAGAAATCTCAAGACAATGATGACCACTACACGAAGCCAGGTAAGACACGTGGGACTTGAAGTGAAGTCTTTGAGTGCACGGGTGTCCCTGCTGAACCAAACATGTGAGAAGGCGTCACTGGAAAGACAAGCTATTAAATCGACTGTGGATTCACTAGGAGTGAAGACAAATCACACTCAGGAACAGATAGAACATTTAGAGGAACAGTGTAGGACATTAGGGAACTGGTTGTCACAGAACAACGAGAGTCGTATCGGGGACACTGGGGGCGTGGCCATGGGAAGTAAAACTGCAGTGCGCGAGACCAAAATGGACCCAAGACGTCGGGGTTTTACTCCCTCGACTGGGGCGTCAACAGCGGCTATGACAGCAACTACATCAGTAACTACGTCAGCAACTGTATCAAAAGCCATCACACAATCTACAAGGTCCCATGGAGGTGAAATGACGAGGATCTTAGTTGTGAAGCTTGAGTCATTTACCTCTCAAAACCCTCACCAGATAGACGTGCACAACAACGCTATGACGGTGTACGGCTCCCTGCGTGTATCACACATCTCGTCTATAACGTTTGATCCGAGTTCAAGGAGACTGATTTTTGGCAGACATTTACCAAAGGTCATACTGTCTTCTAATTTGGATTCCTCACACGTCCGACGACTACGTAAAGGTGTTGTTTCACTTGGAATGGCTGTTGACGTTGAAAGACGTTTGGTATTCCTCACGACCTTCAAACCCAGGCGTACAGTCAGTCGCATGTCAACTCGAGGGAAAAACTTCCGGGGCATTGTAGACCTAACAAGGCATGGGTCGTATAACCCATACAACATAGCTCTTGACACCAGAAAGAAGAAGATTTATTTCTGCAAAAACAGTGACGGCCTTTGGTCAGTGGATTATAATGGTAAGGATCTTTACAGGATGCTGAAGACAGGAAGCTCAAGCGCTGTTACACTTGACAGTGCACGTGGCATTATGTACTTTAGTGATGCTGAAAAAGTGATGAAGTTGTCATTATCAACAGATGAAGTGACGGAGATCATGGGACTGAGAGCGAGGATATGGAGTATGTGCTACGTTAACGACAGTTTATACGTTGCTGGATATTCGGGGGGATTCATTGATGTCATATACTTGGAAAATAATGTACTCTTTAGTCTGCAAAACATGAAACATCCCAAGAATATTGTATTGCCGTTACCATGACTGAAGATGGTCTGTTGGTTGTTGTTTTACGCCGCACTCAGCAGTATTCCAGCTATATGGCGGCGGTCTGTAAATAATCGAGCCTGGACTAGACAATCGCAATCGATCTACACAGAATCCTGTGACCAACACAACCATGTCAGCAAGCCTGATCACTTGATCCCGTTAGTCGCCTCTTACGACATGCATGGATTACTGAAGATCAATTCTAATTCGGATCTTCACGGGTCCTGAATGATGTATCAGCGGATGATCCGTTGAGAGAAGAAATATTGGATTTGTATAATTGGTCAAATGAATGTTTACTGAAACTCTATCTGAAATGGCATCTTTTGGCATAAGATGAAACATGGGTGGTCTTCCTGCTCGAAGTCCAGCCTCTCGTAAACGATTACGAATGATATGCGCCGATACTCTACTCAAACCAGGCACTGCTCTTGCAGTTGCAGTTACCTGTAAATATGTCAGTGTATTGTGCTGTATTCTATATGGTGATTTATCTAAAACTCTACAGGTGATATATCTAGGTCAGCGACCTTGCTAGACCTGAGTTCAGCTTTTGTCAACGTTTACAATAACGTGTCAGCTTGTTGTGAAAGAATGTCGTTTTATAAGAAGGACGAAGATTCGAGTCCGTGATCAGCGGATCAACGCACAGCTAAGGGACGCAACCCTGCATAACAACTGGTGTCGTTTTCATTACTCAAATCACCATTGGAACAAAGTGCAATGTTGTATTCTTTGCTTTGTGTGTTAGCCTGTGTGGAATGAAATAAACCTACGGGTCTACGAGAGCAACGGAATCTAGTTGGGTTGCAGGGATGAAACACGGCAAATCCAGAACTGATGTTGAGGTGCCGTGTTGGCTTGATAGGACGGTGTCAAATTACATTCAAACACTAACCCTCGTTATCTCAAGCTCCATAAACTCTTCATGTCTCTTAAGACAATATGGTGTCCCCCGCGGTGATATTGCTGGAAAATTGCTAAAAGCAGTGTAAACCCATGCTCACTCACTGATTCACTCACTCATAAGACAATGTGATGATATTCTCGTAACCATTATCGTTACAATAGTGAAACATCAACTTTTCGATTGTCTCCATGGTTCTATAAGTGGAACACCAAAACAACATCACGACTGAAGTATTCGGGTTCACAGGGTTTCACTACACGTGGCTACTCCGGTTTACACATCGAGAAACATCCGTATTTACAGCCCGCCAGTTGTGTGAAGGATTTGCAATAATCCAGCAACATCACGGCGGGGGACACAAGAAATGGGCTTCACACATTGTACCCATGTGGAGAATCGACCCCGGGTCTTCGGCGTGAGAAGCGAACGCTTTAACCACTAGGCTACCCCACCGCCCCAGTTGATGTGAAGGTCACACTGACTTAAACCGGACTGCACAACACATACACATGATGTAAGATGTCAAGAATGTGAGGGATGATAACATCCTTATCTCTATTCCTGATGTGGATTCCGCGTGTGTTGCTAAGAAACAGCGTGTCTATTCAGCAGGGAGGCTTGTGTATACGTATACATTTATGAATTAAAGTTGCATCGTCAATTTTTCGAGACGGGTTATATGTGTGTGTGTAAGACGCGTTTACGTCATACCATGGAATACCAGCAATGTCATGGCGGAGAATACCAGAAATGAGTTCTCGTATTATGCCCATGTAGGGAATCGAACCATGGTCCTCCACATGAAGGCTTTTAACATACGTTAATTTAATAAGTGAGTGAATGAGTTTAGTTTCACGTTCTGGGCGGGTCGAACGAACGCTTTAACCACTAGGCTACCCAACCGTCCATACACTAACTGCCCCCATATCAAGATGGTATACTGTGTAGCGTAGGTCAGTTCAAATACCTTCCTTTTCCTCAATCTCATTTTTCACAAATGACGGGGTTGCTACGGGTTTAGATGCTCATGCTGTTGATCACTGGATTGTCTGGTCCAGATTCGATTGTTTACAGATCGCCGCCATATAACTGGAATTTTGCTGAGTGCGGCGTAAAACTAAACTCACTCACTCACTCATTTGGTTAAAAGTCAAAATGAGTCTTACGTATTATGCTAAAGCAAAGTTTAATATACAATGCAATAAAATCGTCTCAACATCGACAGTGTGATAATATAGTACAGCGAAGGAAGTTTTAGTGCAAGTCACAAGAATGTTTTTGTGACAAAGGTAACTACCAAGTTCAAAATGGAAACATCGTCAGCGTGAACCGGGATTCGAAGCCACAATCACAGGTTTCTGATATGCCCAAGGGAGGCAACTCTGCACAGCCAATAACGGCGCCCTATACGCTTTTTACACCTGGTCTAATCCACAAGCAACACTGAGTGAATATGAAATGTGTTTTATTACATCACTGCCTTTGTGACAAATGTTAGAAGAATAATCGGCGGAGTAAGTCCAGGTTTCGAACCCACAAACAACAGATCCAAGTAAAATCCACCGGTACATCGTCAAACCAGGGATCAGAATCGGGAAAATATTGGATTCGAACCCCAAACACCGATATTAAAGCCATCCATTCCGAATTTTAAAAAAAGGTTTTCGATGCAAGGTTTACACAATGTAATGGGTTTGCAAATGAAGGACAATGTACAATTTCAACAAAGTAACGTCTAAATGTTATGAGTATTTGACAAATGCAGGCAGTTTCAACATTGGGGAACATAGGCAGGACATCTTAGATATCCAGCCCAGTGCTCCACAGTTTGACATCTGCACAGGGATAAAGTATTCTCCTATTTACAATTTGGTTGAGGAAGAACGGCCAGTGTGAAATGACAATGTTTAGATACTGCAGAAACTCAAGTTTCTTGTTGGGTTGTTAAAGTTCAAGGAACGTTTTTATAGATCAAAAGCGTGTTTTAAAAGTTGCCTCTTGCTGGGTCTTGGTGTCGTTTAGCATTGCTATTTCTTTTTGAATGCGATCCTGGGGATCCATGAATGCAAACACTCTCTTGTAAGAACACAGGAACGTTGAGCCAACGGCACTTGTGATGAACAGAACCAGACCGAGGAAGATCGCAACCAAACCAAGGCAGGCATTGGCCGTTTCGTATGGTTGGCATTTGTAAGCTGTGTCCTGATTGGCGGAGAAGCATTCACTCACGGCCAAACCATTAAAGATGATTTGTAGCACGGACAATGAGATGCATGTAATGCAGAGAGTGAAGTGAATGGTGATCTGAAATTGCAAGTGAATGATTGAGCGATTTGGTTCTTCCAACACACTCGATTTATGTCGCATCGTGTAACGCTGAACGACTTATTTCAGAGCTTGTAGCAACTATGGCACCACTAAATACTGATTTTGGAAGAGAATTTCTCAGCGTAATACATGAAAATAAGAGCCATATCGTACGATATATGATACAAAAAAGAAAACATGTATCAAAAACTATACCCTCCACTGGAACCTGGCATATCTACAGCTGAAATACCTTCCTTCGAGCCGTTCACGCTACACCCTCCACCTGTTCCTGCTACATCCTCCACCTGTCGGTACAGTATAATGTCTTTTTAGAGCGTGTTTAAATGTGTTTCTTACATAAGCCCGGACTTTCACGCCTACTTCCTCAACAACATCCTTCTCCGTTGCTCTCCTTCCGTACACGCCGGCGATCAAAACCTGGAAAAGTACGACAATATATATCATTCATGGCATTTGAATACATTCTGTCATAAGCCTCCTAACCTGATCTGTACACATGGTGAAACAAACTGAAACAGCTAAATCATTTCAGTGCAAAGATGTTAGTATGTTTTACATACAACCAAACTGAAGTGAAAAAATGTATGTGAAATCATATCACCTGGACTTACTTCCTGAATATATTCACAGTGGAAGTTAAAATGTAAATGAGATGATTTTAGCTGGAAACAGTTTAGCGCCTAACATTGTGCTTCAGATGATTTCAAACGAAGTTGAAAATGATTTCGTTCAGGACGTCAATGATAAAAGACACGAAATATCCAAGTTCAGCTAAAAATCATTTTGAGAACTGAGACTACCTGAAGCGCGATTTCTATAGTATCATAGTTGCAGGATCCTACAGCTGTGACATGCTACAGAAAAAAGTGTAGGTTGATTAACTAAAAAATACCACGAACAAACATATTTTATCGAATCAAGAGTGAGTGAGTGTGTTTAGTATTTGGCCGCTTTTAGCAATATTCCAGCAATACCACAGCGGGGGGATACCAGAAATGGGCGTCACACATGGCACCCATGTGGAGAATCAAACCTAGGGCCCGTTTCACAAAGCGATCGTAGCGCTACGACTGTCGTAAGTCTATGTTAAATTATGGGAGTAACGACAGTCGTAAGTCTATGTTAAAGTTTGGGAGTTACGACTGTCGTAGTGCCACGGTCGCTTTGAGGAAGCCTGGTCTTCGGCGTGATTGCTACCCCACCGCCCCTATCAAACCAAGAACCATACATAATTTTGTGCAGTATGTCTTCCAGGTTTTGAAAAACACTCGCGCTCACCAGAATGCCATTGACGACCGCATGTCCGTTTATCTTAGGGTACGTCGGGTTGGTGACAGCCACGCCAATGGAAACTAGGCCGGTAATTATTGAAAGTACACTGGCGACGATCTGAACCCAGGACAGACGCAGCAGGAACCGAGCCGCCTTCTTCCGAACATCCTTGGCTTCCAGTGAATCAGGAGCTGGTAGTATGGAATAGACAACTATTTAGGCAATTCAGCGTTTTTTTCCAGATATCTGCTATTATATATCAAATGATGTATAGCGCAGGTACTTTTAGCAGGGACCGACTCCGTGGTGTAGTGGTTAGAGCGTCCGCCCGGAGTGAGGAAGGTCGCGGGCTCGTTCCCGACCGCGTCATACCAAAAGACGTTAAAATATGGGATTTGTTGCTCCCTGCCTGGCGCGCGGCATTAATTGATACAATGAGGACTGGTCGGCTCGGTGTCAGTATGATGTGTCTGAGTGGGGTATTCATGCTTCACTGTGGCATGGTATCTCAGTGGGCTAGCACTATAAAACCAGCTTAAGTCTGGGCTAGTACAAGCAGCCGCACATACACATGCACACGCATGCACGTCGTCATATGAGCGAAATATTCTCAAGCACGACGTTAAACCCAATTTCACCTCACCTCACTGTTAGCAGTGAATGTTCACCGATGTAGCCCGTAGCCCGTATGAACTACGTACTATCCGTATCGTATGAACGGCATGTTCTCATTTCGCCTACATCCCAATTCGCCTACAGTCTTAAAACAACATTTCATGGTCTGTTGACTGTTGATTACGCAATGATAAACTAGTGGCACCCCTATGATCTAAAAGTGGACTATTCTAGTTGGACTAGTTGAAGGACAAAATAAATGTATTTCTGTTATATGTGTTATTTATTTATTCTGTTATTTGTCATTTTCCGATCACAATGATATTCACATCATATCACATTAGTGTTTAGGAAGTTAACTTGTGCAGATGTCCATTTAGGAGATAAACATACTGTGTTGGAAAGTTAGAGGTTTATAACGGAATTATAATGCTACTGCAACAAAGAAGTTGTCTATCCATAAAAAGTGTTCCACTCCATCATACCATCTTCTGTATGCCACTTAAGGACGAAATTATGATAGCTCTAAATTTGAATTAAAAACGAATGCGTAGCGTGAGGTTTCAAATATAAAATTTAGACCTATTATAATTTTATCTTCATTCTACCATAGCCGTGTTATTAAGACTGAAAAAATAATACATACTGTTTTGGAAAATCAGAGGTATATAACGTGATTATATACCTCTGAATGACTTTGATTAGCCAATCACAAAGTATTTACTTCAGCTTGATAAGGTGACCAGCCGCGTCGAGGACCAAACAAAGGTACCAAATGGTTCTATTTTCGTAAAGCTTGAGGTTATACAACATGAAAGAAACCATGATATGGGTTCAGACTTTCTATAGTCATTCACTGTGACATATTGTGCCTGCAGAACAACAGTGACTGTTGATGTTAGGCAACACACAATCCATCTAATCGCAGGATATACAAGGTATCATGTTTTGTTGTTTTGATTGTTTGTTTGTTTTGTTTGTTTGTTTTGGTTTTGGGGGTCACTTTTTTTATTCACATGGTATGATGTTGGTATTTGTAGGCAATTCAGAAAATGAGCCTTCAACTTCACTGATCCACCAACTTGTCACTTTTAGAGAATAGGGATGGCACCTGACTTTCATAAGAGGCAAATATGTTGACTTTACATTGGTAAAAAGAATTACAAGGTGCAAGCAATTCTGTTTTGGACACCTTATACCTAGCTGTGTACACTTTTCGTTGGAATCGACCACATATCCTTATAGACCATTCTTAGCCAATATGCATGACCTCGAGGTCAAACTGAAAGCGAGGCTTAAATAGGTTGACCCAACCTTGAAAATGGCGATCTCGAAAAGGAAAGATTACTGCTGTGTGCCTTTGCGTTGGAGTGATGCCCGTAAGGATTTTACGGTATCTTTTCACCATATTCCCAAGAATAAGATCAGAAGAAGGCAGTGGTTGACGAAAATACGGAGAGATCCTGGAAAATGATTTATAGTAAGTACAAAATAATTACGGCACATGGCATAGTCTAGATCTGCCGTGTAATGTACACACTGTTCACTGTGCAAGGTTTTAATATTAGGGGCACATGTACAATGTGAATGTCACACACACACAAACACATTCAAAACCCACCCCCACCCCCACACATTGTCATGTTCAAAATCAGTGATCACCCCGCTAGTTCATATGTACATAATTGGCCCCTCCCCCTGCCTCCCAAAACAAACTGGGAGACACCCCAACCCTCACAAACACCGCACTTAAAATCATCTTTACCCCCCTAGTCATAAATTATGAACGATGGAGTATATGCAGGACACACACATGCTGTTAAAAAAATCTTAAATATGTACTTTCAAAATTACTGCATACTGACCAGTACTTCAGGGATACAGGACATATTACTGGACAATCTAATTACAACAACTGAAATATATTTAGTGTTTAAATATCCATTTCAGATGCTGCTAATTAAGAGTCAGAGAGCATGTCACCAGCTTAGGAACCTCCCATAAGGAATCTACCACAGTCACCATCTCAGATACAGTAAGAATGTCAGATCGTATTAAGTTAATTTTGCCAACTGACACGGTTTTAAAGAATTTAATACAACTGAACTTTGACCTATATGCTATGTTATTTACATATAAAAATATCGATTGCCCATACTGTCTAAAATATGAAATGATGTTAGCCTCTATCCCTTGATGTATATTTGTAATTCCAGAGATGCTATGTTATTTACATATAAAAATATTGATTGCCCATCCTGTCTAAAATATGAAATGATGTTAGCCTCTACTCCTTGATGTATACCATTCCAGAGATATATTTTTTGTTTGTGTGATTGAAGAGATAATAGTGATGCTTTATAGTGCTTATATTACAGTGAAGCAGAGAGTGATCCAGCAGCCACTGACCCCAGTCCTACATAGAACAACTCCATCAAACATTACATGGACAAGAGAGGAACTCAAGGAAAAGGTTGACAAAATAGAAAAAACGAACAGAAAACTTGAACTTGAAAAGTTTAGAGTTTGTAAATTCATGTATGATGATAAAAATTGATTGAACATTTTACAGCATTCGATCATTTCAAACATTGGCACTGATTAGCTGGAACGTTTTCATTTGTTGAATATCTTCCCAGGTTTTGTGAAGTACCTTGCCCAAACAGCACAAGAATTGACAGACATGAATGTAAATGAAATTGTTTCATGCTTTTGTGTTGTGTAAATGATGGATGAAAAAAGAGACAGCTGTAATACATACACATTGATTGATTTAACTGAATAATAGAAAGCTATTTCATAATGGCATAGTTGTAGATGTAACACATTTGCTACTGTTTAATTAATAATTGATGAAAAAGAATATATTTCATCCTGTTTGAAAAGAGTTAGTTGGGAATCAGAAAAAAAAATCATTTATAGGGAAGAGATTATGAGAATGTGTAACGGGAGAAAACTATGATAAATTATGAATTGATCCAGCTGTAATTGTTGCCATTCATGTCAGACTAATCTAAAAAGATATTTCTATCAACATAAATATTGCACCCAATATATTTTCAATTTGCATCCTCTGAAAATTTTATTGTTATTCATCAGTGTTACAGTTGGAAGCTATTGTGAATTTGTCTATTGTTATTGGACATTTAAGACACCATTTCAGAATAATTTTTTATTAACAGCACTCCAGGTGTTCGTTATGTATTTAGGTTAATTGTTTGCTGTAGTGTGAATCCTGTTATGTTAATCTGATAATATGTTCTCCTTAAAAAAGGTCTTCAGTTACAGTGGAACAGAAGAAATACACAAGATCTACAATAAATCAATTTTATGGTATAGTAACACAGTATTGAAAATTGTTTCAAATATTCCCCATGCAGGTACCATAAGTCCATTTTGGTAAAATAATTATTCACCTCCAAATCAGTCAAGAAAGAACTTTTGAAAAAAATCATCCCGTTTTGTCTTGCACTTTGTGTCCCAAGCATGTTGATTGAAATACAACGTTTCTAAATGATGATGTGGCGATTCGTTGTTCCTCAGCGATTGTAACATGTCTAGTTACGCGCACATCGCCAACTGACAATATATGCGTGAATAAATACCCTATATCTATAAAACAGTCAATAGGACAAAACATTTTAAGCAGAAAAAATACCAAACAAATAATTTCATCACATGAATAATACAGTTGTGTTTGGTCCAGATCCACTCGAGGAGAGCTATCATGATCTACATATTACTTATAATTTCGATTATCCAGCTCAAGAATTATCAACTCTACTCCCATGTGGAAGTGAATGATTTGAATCAATGTCAGGAAATACGTTGAGTCTTTTGCTTTGATGTTGATAAAGTAAACGTAATTGACTTCCCTTGGTAATATTTCCACTATTGTGACTTTAGAGTAGCTTCCCTTCATAAATGCTGCGCAAGATGGTAAACGTTAACCTAGATATCTAGGTCATATGACTTATCGTGATGTGTCGTGATGTACAGTAATTATTCACCCTTCAATCCGTGGATATGCTACAGAAACATTTTTGTAGCCCTTTCCCATTTCTCTGCGATTTCCCTGAACTACTGGACAGTTTCGTAATGTACCGTTCAAGGGAAATTTGAAACCAGGAAGTATACATTGAGCTTTGTCGCCATTATGCGATTGTGTCCTTTCCCAATTTAGCCTCGTTTTGGTACAGATATGAATATTCATGAGGCCTCATTATGAATGGTCTATAACAGTCGATCAAGATGTAGTATGGCACTGACCAGTGAGTCAGGTTCATTAGGGGTGCGATTTCTAATCTCCATTAGCCTACATTATTTTTGTATGCGAAATGGGATGTAGGCGATTTGAGATGTAGGCGAACAGAGACTAAACCGTATGAACTACGCACTATCCGTATCGTATGAACTAGTACAAGCCATATCGTATGAATTACGTGGTATCCGTACCGTATGAACTACGTACTATCCGTAGCGTACGATGTAGGTAGTAACCGCTGCGTGGTGGAATAGACAACTAACTAATTGAGCGATGTATTCAGAAATAGTCATGCATATATGAAAAGGAATTATTACACATCAACTTATACAACGACATAACTGACTAGGCAGGAAATATATATATTTATATAAAGACTTAGCAGATTCGTGACCAACTTCTGTTATTACGGGAAAGCCAAATAGGTATGCGTGCCCCTCGGGAAGGATTTCACATTGGAAAAACAAAATTACTTCAACTGAGAACAAAAGTCTATTTCTCTGTATCCACTGATGGTAAACATAACATCCACATAACCCTTTTGAATTATGCTACAGCTGACAAATATAATATGAGTAATCGTTTGGAAACTAATTCTAACTAATTTCAGCTGCTGATGTAATAATATCTGTTAAAAAAGAGTAAAGTATGACTGCTTTAAATTTCCCTGACAATGACGAATCACAAATGTGATTTCATCCTTGAATAGATAGTTATGCTGATACCTTTGCAGGTGAATCAAGTCCAAAATCAACTTAATATATCCAGTTTGGCTATCTAAAACATTGAAAAGTATTGCACTTTATTTTCCATGAACCAATTCTCTCTCAGCATTTGTGGCTACCTTTTTTATACAAAAATGTTTGCGGATTCGGAATAATGGTTTCATGTGACATGGCTTACATATATATACATATGATCAAATCCCATTACTCTCAACTCTGAAAAAACCCACAATTTCCTCAAAAATATTCATAAACTATAATATATTTATAAGCATATATGTTATCGGCAATCTGCTTTTAATATAATATATTTATCTAAATTGAATCAGGAAAATCCCCAGACGAGTTAGGATATGTACCTTCGTTGTATATTAAGTTATGAAAGAGATAAATATATGACAGCTCCAATATCCTCAAGGTAGTGTAATATCAGCACGATATTTTAAGATTAATAATAGGTGAAAATATATTTTTCTGAAACACCTGGCTATATTATCAGCTTTTTTAACATACCAAAGCGGATATTAAACTGAAATATATCTAGAAGGCCACATAGATGGAAAGAGAAAATATCTCAACATAGGAACAGTCATTACACAAACGCACGTGAGTAGATCTGAGTCGCTTCCTGTGTATGAACATGTCACACCTCAGTTGCTGGACACAATTCTCTTCACACACTCACACACTCACACACACACACACACACACACACACAGAGAGAGAGAGAGAGAGAGAGAGAGAGAGAAAGAGAGAGTCTCTCTCTCTCTCTCACACACACACACACACACACACACACACGCACACACACACGCACACGCATTCGGTAATACAGCTAATATATATACCGGGGGAAACCAGAAATGGGCTACACATATTCAACCTATGTGAGGAATCGAACCGGAGTTTTCGGTGTGACGTGTGAACGCTTTAACCACTAGGCTACCCTACCACCCTTCAGCCTTTACCCTTTTTGTAAACACTCCATGCGCGGCCGTATGCCACGTAGTGCAGTGGCGAGCTGTGACGGGTGGCGTAGCAGTGTGCACAGCTCCGCGAACGGGGCTATCGCTGTGAGGAGCTTCACATATTACCAAAGGTACCAAGCTGGTACATGTAATGTCCCCGATTTGACAAACGTCGTACAGAAACAAGAAATATAATATTTACCGATGGCATTCGACCGGCCACAGCAACAGTTATCCTCCATATTTGATAATGTCCGACAACGTTGGAAACGAGGTGATGAGAATTTAGCAGTCCAAGTGTTCACATCCCACGTGAAACATAAGGACATGTGACCCCGCACGTGACACTTTATCACCGCTGATGTCACTGATATGATTATTGTTATGTCCAGCAACAGACACTGATATGTTCACGACAACATCATTACTCAGGTGTCAGTTTCATTGGTGGCGTCTATAAGACGTTATATCTATGAAATCCGATACACTTTACCTCACCTCGCCTCACCTCACCTCACCGCACCTCGCCTCACCTCGCCTCACCTCACCCCGCCTCGCCTCACCTCACCGCACCTCACCCGCCTCGCCTCACCGCACCTCACCCCGCCTAACCGCACCGCACCTCACCCGCCTCGCCTCACCGCACCTCACCTCACTCCGCCTCACCGCACCTCGCCTCACCGCACCTCACTTTTTACTCTGAATATAAACGATATGATTGAGTGAGTGAGTTTAGTAGGTAGCAGTCTCAGGATTTAAGACAAAAAATGTACGTGATCCCCGATTTAAGACAATTTTTTTTACTTTTAAAGACCAAAATGACAGGTTTAAGCAATCTTTAGACTTTAGTCACTTTCATGACCCCGGGGTATAGATACGTACAGTTTGAAATAACAAGCTTTTTCAATGCATCAAAATATGTCCTTGTTGCTTCCCAGTGATGTGGTAATGTGAGGGGTGATGAGGTAGCCTAGTAGTTAGCGTTTGCTCGTCATGTCAAGAACCGGGGTTCGATTCCTCGGGGTTACAATGTGTGAATCCTATTTCGGATGTCCCCGTCGTAATATTGCTGGAATTTAGTTAAAATCGGCGTAAAACCATTCTCACTCACATATCCACGGTCATTTGATTACAACCAGCCACACATGCACACGTGTACATGCACGTCTCTACGTCAGTGCAACTAGCTTTTAACGTGAGATCAAATTTGTCTTTACCTTCTCGACACGTGAAGATCCGGGTTAGAATTGGTCTCCAGCAACCCATGCTTGTCGTAAGAGGCGATTAACGGGATCAGGTGGTCAGGCTCGCTGACTTGGTTGATACATGTCATCGTATCCCAATTGCGCAGATCGATGCTCATGATGGTAATCACTGGATTGTCTGGTCCTGACTCGATTATTTACAGACCGCCGCAATATAGCTGGAATATTGCTGAGTGCGGCGTAAAACAACAAACCAAAAAACTAACCAATTTTAGCTTCTCCTTCTGATAGCAAATGGCCCGTTGTCACATAGCTGGAAAGCTGCTAAGAGCACTTCTAAACAACAAACATAGCTAAATTGAGGAAACACGTTTAAAATATTTCTTAACAGGCCTACCAGAATATCATTTTTATTGATCTGTACAGTCTTTGATAATCTACGTCAACGATGCATTGCCAAGACATATTTTGAATATCCTACTGTGACAAAATATAACATGCTCATGTCTTCTAACCAAACATCTGCCTGTTTCATTTACCATACCTAGCAGCTAAGACATGGTGTAGTAATGTGAACTACCTCATGTATATCTCTGTAATACCTATATCAATATAACTATGTTCGTATGGACAAGAATGGCGAAGATGTTGGGTTAAACGTTCTAAGTATCTGCGACATCTGTTGCTAGGAATGTAGCCTGTTTCATTTGCCATGTCTCGCAGCTTGGACACGCTATACCAAAGTGAACTACCTCTTGTACATCTCCGTAACCCCTATATCTATATACTTGTGTGTAATGGACCAACCAATGTAGCAGAGCCGCTGGCCTACATCTGTATTGAAATAAAGAAACAGACCTACCTGAGATAACAAATACACATGTCCAAAAAACGGATAGATAGATAATTAAAAGTTTAAAAGGTGTTCGGGCAATTAGACCCATTTACACCTTGCCCATCATAAAGGTTTGCTAAGTTTCTAAACTTTTATAAAGTAGTAAAGCTGCTACTCGCTTTAATATAATCAAGGAGGACATTCTGAACATCACTGCGAGTGATATTCATTGAGCACAACAGTCCAGCCAATCAGATGTCAATATTGTGAGCTGTAAGAGATTGCGCCATTGCCTTTGTGTCCAAAAACAGGTAGGTATGTGGAGACAAAGCTCCAAAACTCAACACCGCCTTTCCATTGGCCAGCGGTCTGACGTCAGCTCCCTATCCTGCTAACCCATGTTTTCCACGTGCAACGGCAACTTCTGTCGTTAGTATAAAAGGCTGGCTGAGCACGTGGTGCTAAAGTGGTCGCTGTCTGACTGGTGAGTAACGCTTTTCCATTATTGTCTTTAATGAAATTTAAATGAACGTTTAACTTTATAAAACATTTGAGAGTCAGTATCATCTTCTCTTAGGAGTTTGAATAGTTTCATAATGTTCTTAGTGAAGGTGTTTTTTCCTCCGAAATGTGTTCTTTTCTTCTTAATACCTGTTTTGTATAAATATTCTGTAATGTTGCCCCATTTGGGAGTTATGGAGTGGAATGAAACCAAACTTCTTACAGGCTTGTGGAGATCGCAGAAATGAGAATTTGGTAGTTGCAATGTAACCTGGCTACAAGAAAACGTACCCCTAGTGTTGGGAATCGGAAACCAAACCCACTATCGATTATCGGAGGACTTGTGGTGATCGATTATCGATTATAATCGAAATATATACATTTTTAATGTAATCACCAATTTTATGGGGTTTTCCCAAGTTTTGTTATGTTTATTTTATAACTAATACTGTCATCCAATGAAATGCACGCATGCAAGAGACACTGGAATTGTAATTAAACAATAAAAGTGGTTAAAATTTTACAATGCGCATAGTTTTACGCTGTTGAGCGCATATTAGTTCGTGAATATTCATCAAATTAAATGGTAAGTATACTTAATTCAAGGGTGTTATACAAAAACAAAATTCCGATTAATCAAATATTTTTTTACAATCGATGATCATTTTGAATCCTTTCGGTCGATTTTCGATTTATTTCGATCATCGGAACACCACTATGTACCCGTGAAGATCCGGTTTGGATTGGTCCTCAACCGAATGCTTGTAAGAGGCGACTAAGGGGGGTCGCTGACCTGTTGACACCCGTCGCTGAACCCCTAGTTGCGTAGGTCGATGCTCATAACGTCCACCACTAGATTGTCTTGTCCAGACGCGATTTTCAGACCGCCTTCATATACCTGTGATATTGCTGGTTGTGGTCTAGCTGGCTATGGGCTTGCCTGCAGATCTACTTTCAACACCTGGCTGCTGAAGTTATCGCCTTATTTGAGCGGTACACAATTACGCCGACGTTCATTCAATTATTGAAACGGAATTATGATAATTAGCTATTCGCCGATGTGTCCGGCCCGTTCACTGCCGCCGATCGTGTTCATATATAACGCGGCGGAGGGGAATTGTGGCAGTACAAATGTTTACTCACGACTAACTGTAACGGTTATCGCCATTTCATCGTGTGACATAACCCCACCCCCACAACTAAGCGCAATTTTTTCATAGGGTTCATAACTTTATCTTTAATTTCTCTTATGATACTTACCGTGAAAAATTCTTTTGCTGTCCTTTATTGTGAAATACCGTGGGGAAAATAATACCTGAATTCTAATTGACCGGAACTGGGCACGCGCCTATTAGTACTCCAACTCGCCTATCAACAATAGGTCAAAACAACTCTGTACCTCCTTTTAGGTTTAACAGTAGATTATTCTCGTGAATACCGAATACATATCCATATTGTGTAATTTCAGATTCAAGGATGTCTACCGAGCACTCACTGTTAGCGTTGCTTGCCTTCGCGGTAAGTAATTTAACCATGTGAACCCTTTGTGGCAGTCCAACAACCACTGTACCTTGTACAGGGTATTCTGGACCGAGGTGGCATCATTGCTATACTAACCCAGGGGGTGCCTGCCCCGACTGAACATCGGCATAAACTATTGCAGGGATTATAAAACCATCGGGCAGTAACCATTTGTTTTGTGTGGTTTATAAGAATGTATCCAGCATCTGTTACATATGTAGCATGTGTCGCGGGTCGGCACATTTAAGGGTAAATGACGAATCTTCCTTCCTAAAATGAAAAGATTAAGATGAATTTTTCAAAGCTGTCGTAAAATTTAAGGGATTTTTTCATTATTGTGACTGAGTACAAGTTAGAACATGTAGATACACCAGATATCGTACCCACATGGAACGTTCCCCGCACCTGTTCCTAATCCTGATGTGGAAGTTTCGGTCTGACATATTCGCAAGTGATGGTCATCTAGCGAGGTAGTCGCAGTCTTCAACTTGTCAAGACTTCCAGATGTCTGAGTAATGTTGACACGTCTCATTAGTCTGGTATGCCTTGTACAGCTGAACCTTCTGACAGTATGGCTGTTTGTAACCCTAATCTGAGCCATTCCTGTTTCTCGCAGCTGCTGATCTTTGCATTTCGATTTGTGCCTTTTAACGGGTACATTATCTCTCGAGATATACTGTTGGCGCAATTCATACAAGTGATTTAACATGACGAGTTTCAGGATATTCAACTCTTATCACTAAATGTTTGGCACCATGTACAAAATTGCGTAAGTTACAACCAGAAAATCTACTTTTAATGTTTCATTTGAGGGAAATAATCCCAAAACACAACACCAGGTCTATTTGGACCTTCAGCGTGTGAAATAAAGGTTTGATCCACAATCCGTAGATCCGTCTTCAAGGTTTTGTGTGCATCTGACTTGTTGAATTCATCTTATTCTATTTTCAGGCAATTGTTAAGGCAGATATTCCGGCAGGCTATATCTTGAAAAGTAAGTTGTCGCAGTTGAACCTCAAAACGTTGAATGTGTGCAACAAATAGATTAACAGGCCGCCATCACTGAGGGAATATACTGTTCACTGAGCTAAGGATCAAAATCATGGCTTCAACAGAAAACTATGTGCGGTCAAATTTGGTTTAAATATCTAAGCTTATTATAAGCATGGATCCTAGGTTTCAGTATGTCATTTCATCTTGTGGATCCCATACCTGCTATTGATGGGTGTTGTGTACCATGGTTTGCAAAATGGTTGATTGGTGCCATAAAAAACAATTTGATGGTTACTCATGTATCAAGTGCGTAAGGTTAAAGTGGCTGTTTTCCTAAAGATGTTACCATATCATTTATCCAGTTTTAAATGGATAAAATTTCAAATTATAAATTTACGTTTAATTGAAGTTGCGAATTTGTGATACTTAGCAAAGTGTGAGTAGTATATTTCTGAATTCGGCTTAATCGACTGCATTTCGTCGTTCACGATTACGTTGCTGCTAGACATTCCTTAGCCACAAGGCTTTAGGTTTAGTGATGTTCCTGAAATGTTGCTCAAAACATTTACAAATGTTTTTGTAAAGCCTTTTTGTATTGTAAATATTTAAACTGAACCGTTCAAACTACCGTATGAAATCTAATCTGTTTCAGTTACGCCGAATTGTGGCGCTAACGGTGTTTCGGATGGGTCGGTGGCGATAGTGACGGATCTGAACGCGGACGCCAGGGCAGTATGTGCGGGAGGGTTGAGCGTTGCCTTTGCTACCGTTGACGGAGTTAATTTCAATCTTCCCTTCTCGTTTTTCGGCAGGAAAAGTGGCCAGCCTTGCGTTTTTGTCGTGAGTACATGGTGAAACATAAACATTTTAATGGATATTTCTTCTCAGCCGAGGTCGGAAATATTTGGTTTCTTTCTGATAGGACCATTTTGGTTTGTCTAAACCTTGGCGTGAAATTTAAATCGGTTGCATTTTGTGACTTGAACATCACCGTAATGTGAATTGCGTACATATACTGATATGTGGGGCCTGGTATGTTGTGTCAGAACTCATCAATATTTTAAAGTTACTCCCAAAATGCCATACTTTCTGTTCCGCAAGAGACGTCCAAACTCCAAGATGTATGCTGCTAAGGTTATCGTGTCCTATGGTGAGCCGGGAAGCCTGCTGCATCAATACACGGAGGAATACACCATCTCGTGCTCGTTTGGTTCTAAAGGAAAGGACGTCAGTGCTGTACAGAGCATAGGCAAAACGTAAGATTTAACTTGACCGTTGGCTTATGCGTTGGAGGCGTTTAGCAGTAACTCATGGGAGACTATTTTGTATTTCTATTTGGTAGAAAGTTTTCTTTATCTTTTACCGGCAAACAGCGATAAGTTGAGCACCGGCATGACAATTGACATGAGTGCCGCCCACTGGCGCTTGCCATTGAGCGAAGGGGCCCCAGGTTGTCCACGATCAAGTGAAGTGCGGCTTGCTACACCGACGTAAGAGTATGAGCAAGGCGTGTCTGCTTTACCTTTCACAAACCAAATGGGTTTGCTCATTGCCCTGCACCGCCTACTTCTCGTAAACGCGTTCTCTGCGTCGGTCCAAACTTATCCTTGTTTGCCTGCAGTATCGACTCCACGTAAACGGAACATGCCTTCCTGTAATTATTGAAACTTTGACTTTACCTCGTCAATATTTGTACTCTACCAAATGGAAGCGTATTTTTGTGTATTTTCGGGGTTTTTTTTGTTTGTGAAGCCCTGAACGAAATCTTGTACACTTTAATGCAACGTATTATAAGGCTGATGGCACCCAAAGAGATTCAAACCAACATTGGAAGGTCAAGTAGCTCGCCCATCGTTTTGAGGATGCTTGATGTCCTTGGACGGGACATGACTGGGGTCACGGTCAACCATGGCCGGAAAGTGTGCCTCAGTGCTACGTTTAGCGGTAAGTATCCGCTATTAATTCATGACTGCAACAATATTATCTTGCCTCGCACATAAATATTTTTCTGATTCAAACAGTTCAAAATTGCCATTGAGGTGTTCAGTAACATAAATACAGTGTTTACTGGTCCATCGGGGCCCATGGGTTCATGTACCCTGGATGTTTCTATGTTCCCCCCGTCCTTCGCGCTCAAGGAACATAAGCAAACATCGAGGGTACATCGGCACACACACACACCACACACACACACACCAGTGAACAACTTGTATTGTGTTAAAATTTCAGCAGGTTTGTAGTCAGGTTATTTCATGAGTTAAATGTTGCCCTTTTCAATGGCCCGGAGATCTAAAACCTTGGATTGTTCACTACATGGTTGTTCATTCCAAGAATTGTTTTTTATGAAGTGAAGCAAATAATGTCATCACTTAAACAAATTTGACGAATATTGTAAGTGTAACACTAACAGCTTACTAATCATGCCATGATTGGATACGACGTTTTTAAAATTTAATGTTTCAGTTTAATTATCCTTGAGCTGATATTATGCTCTTTTCGTCCCTTTGGCCACTGTTATGTCCCCGTTCAGAGCTGCTTGAAGCACTGGTCATATCTTTGTGTGGATTGGTCTCTGTACAATGATTTCCTCCATCACTCTACCACCGCCTAACTTGCGTACAAAACGTACTGTTCCATGAACTACCCGCAGCGTAAAACATGTGCATTCTGCCCTCGTTTCTGTGCCAACTCTCATCTATAGTCTCACTATATCAAGGCAATACCGGTCAGTTTTCACCTGTCTCTATGATTGTCTTCCTTTACTGCAAGTTTGGTTGTTCCAGGTCCCGAGAGAGGCATTCGCCCCGTGTCTTGTGACGCTATCGACAGTTCGAATGCTCGCTATGCTATTCTAAGAGCAGGGTAGGTTTACCTTAACAATATACCCCACTTAATTTATGCATATCAAGTTGGCATTAATTCAACCAGAATTTCTGGATTTGTGCAACATGGCGATTCAACGGCAAGAATCTGTGGAAATTGTCAGGTCTAGTTATATAAAGGTCGAGGGGTACTTGTTATATAACGTAACGGTCCCTGTAGGTTAGCAAGTGGTAAACTGCTTCGTTCGACTAAATTTCCATCCTACTAAACAATGCATTTTCCAGAGCTTGTCAAATCACTGTCAACTGCAATTAAACTCTTACTTCAGTTGCGGGGATGGAATAGTGTTCCCCAAGAACAAAGGTTTCACGACGACGGGCAAGACCACCACCAGCTCTACCTTCAAGGCTTTCAGCATCAACACCGACACGTCGCTCAAGTTCGAGTGCAACTTCACTCTGTGTGCCTCTGGGTGTAATGGCGTGAGTAGATGCTGTCAGTTTTTGCAGTAACATTTCCTTGGCCACTAGATGCAACGTCTCCAACTTGGAACTCATGTAACCAAGAAACGCTTCCACATACCTATCTAGCCTACTTTCCAATGTTGTCACCATGTATTTCCACACATTGTCTCAAATTCACTTGTACTATATATACCAGCGTTCATCGCCTCTCCAAAAACATATTCCCATATAAAGCTGCAACACTACATACGTTTTTCCCCAAGAAATGAAATTTCAAATTGTTGCAATTGTATTTCCAATTTGACCTTGATAAATTCAATTGTTTTATGAATTGTTCCTAATGTATGCAGGAAGTAATTTGGTATAGTGCAGTCGAGTGAGCTCCGTTTTCCATGGTCACATACTCATGGAAACTAATAACAGAACAAGTCTTTTCCAGGTGTAACAAGCTTTGTTTGACACTGGGAGATTCTGCTAAAGGCCACTTGTACTTTCATGTGTTCCCTTATTAGTTTCCATGAGTATCTTAAGTACGATGGATGTTATGTCTAAAGAGTTTCCTTCTTGGACAAATTTATGAGTGCTTTCTTTTCTGCAGAATTCCTGTGCTAATGCACGGCGTCGCCGAGGTAACTATGACTACTCGTTTACCTAGCCATTTGCTCCGTGGTTTGGACGACATAGTAGCATGTGTCTTCGTTCAATGCAGTGCTCATATTAAATCACTGTCTGATTAAGATTATGTGTTAACAGTAGGTTACATGGGCTGTCTGTTATGTGAAGATTTCTAGAACATATTTAGCCCGACTGAACACATGACCTTGACATTTTACAAATCTTCCCATTTGTTTCTCACACGATTTACCCTACATCGTAAGACAATGCCGCATCTCTTGGAAACGCCAGTATTTTTCTGTTTTATAAAATTGAGATTTAAGATTACATGTACTTGTACTTGGAACAGTACCAACCTCTATTAAACTTTACAAATGGTTTGTTCTTCATCCCAACCCCATAGTCTTGAGTGACTGTTCCTGCACTAAGCACTCGATTCCTGGTTGGGAGAAATAACTTTAAAATGCATGTCGATGTTAAATTAAACATATATAAATGCTTTCAATATACTAATTGTGTTTTCAGCTGCAATCGCCAGGGAAGACGATAAAAAATTCGTATTAGCAGCGACCGACTCCTTAGACTTAAGCGGTGGAGCCAAACCTCGTCCTGTCGGAACGGTAGAACGCGTCAAACACCGGTCACCTTGACGACGCTCTGTACTAAACTGGTTGTGGGAGAAATAAATACAAAAATCTTTTTGTCTTGTGCATTGCCGCCCAGATTAACCATGCACCATGTTCTTGGAACATGTTTCATGTACACCTCAACGACAGTCCATAAATTGTTCAACTGAAGATATTTGAACAGATTCAATGAAATAGCGTTAGTGACTTGAAGACCAGGCTTGTACTTGTCCCTAAGCAACCCATGCTTATCTGAAAGGCGATTTACGAGATCGGTACGTTGGTTGGGCTCTCAAACTACATGGCATAATCCACCACCTGTGTACTGATTCTTATGTCTGTCATAGAATGGTCTGGTACAGATATTTACTGCTTCCTCTCTATAGCCTAAAGTACTTAATAGCTTCGCTAAGAATGATTTTCATTGGTAGACAAACTTTCACCTAAAAGAAAGTACTGTCGGAAATAGAACAAAACTGTATTTTCTCATTTATCTCAACAATTTATGTAGTTGATGTGTGAAAGTGTGAAATATCTGTTAAACTAACTACAGTTTCAGTGGTAGAGATAGGAAACGTAGAAAAAGGGCTTTACTGAGGAGAGATTCGTGCAGAAATGAGCAAAGCGGATTTTTTCTCAGTCCAAAACGACTTATTTGGAACAGACCATGGCTTTATGCAAATTAGTGTGCGACGATATTGTATTACAAAGAACACTTTTTAAATGCCCATTTTGAAATTAGACGTAGCTTCATTATAAACGATAGCTGGCGTAAAAAGTAACTTTCATACTGAAACTATTAAGGATGTAGCTATCATGGAGTCTCATTGTCACTATGAAAAACAGATGGGAGGGTTCGTCTCAAAAGCAAAACCTGAAGAGGTGTCGCAGACGATCGTTGGGGTCGGGCTGGGGGATAGAGATATCGGATAAGATAATCCTTTAGGGCAATTCTACTGGGTAAGTAAACGGCATGTCATAACAATTTACAAATAATATTCAGTTCTGTCGATCTTCGCGATTGGGTGGTCATGCCACCTATATATTTTGAGACATTTAATACCTGATGACCATAGAAACGCATCGTATCATACTCTTTTACATATCTCAACATAAACTTTATGAAAGAAAGACACGTAAGATGTTAATCAATAGATGAGACAGTCAGCAGACATGAGAAAGCACAAAATATCTTTGCTATGACCCTTGTGCCTGTAAGGCAGCACATGCATTTCATGCTAGGTGAGTCGACGGTCAGTCGTCATACCTGGCTGAGCGACCGAATTGCCATTTATAGTCTGATCTATTTTCTGCAACTATTCGTATTTTTTTCTAAGTTTTGCCCGATTTTACGAGTAAACATGCTTTTCTGGATATCGTATTACGCATCCCACTGAATGCCAAAGTGGGTTATTTCGACATATGCTATTTGCAGTTGTGTAAATTTTAGGGATTCAGAGTAACAGCCTAAAAACAGGGTTTTTTATTCTATTTCCGACAGTACTTTAGTCCTTAGTTCGGATGACATTAGGGGCGGTGGTAGGAAGTGGTTAAAGCGATCGCTCGTCCCGCCGAAGGCCCGGGTTCGATTCCCCACATGGGTACAGTTTAAGCCCATTTCTGCAAGCGGCGTAAACACGAAACTCGCTCGGAAGAAAAGTGTTTTCTGTATTTTTGTTTTGATAAGTTGGCGAATGTCACCCAACGATACATTTCGTACAGATGCGAATATATTGCGATACAAACATGGAGTTTCATATTTAGTTGCCGTACTCCGAGCTAAACTGTCACGTGAGTTCAAAATACAGAGTACCTGGCAGTGTTCCTGGAGCAGTGATGAGCTTTCAGAACAAGCTTGAATCTAGCGTTGGGCAGTATTTAGAATCTCGGCCATATGTAGAAAACGTTAAAGGTCACATGCAACGTAAAACACAACTTTGCAGATTCTGATACCTTTCGGTATCTTACCGAAACAAAGCGTCAAAAATGCAAATTCAACTTATAAAGTTGAAAAATAACGCGATGAAAAAAAACCGCGCGAAATCGGAGTTCAAACGTTTCACTAATTTTCCCCAGACTTTTCTGGGGAATACGGGTTTCAACAGCTGGGCTGCGCTCATAGCACGTGCGCAGTGAAATAGGTTCGCGCAACTTGGAAGCGGGCTGTCTGGTGAATACTCGGTGAAGGCTTTGGTGTGAGCTATTTTCATAATGTTTTGTTGATATCTCACAGGCGCGAGCTTTTTATATGTTATGACAGTAAATAAACTGTTTTTATATAATTTCATTTGTCTATTTCACCACACGTTCTTCTTACCGAGTCACTTTCTCAGTTCGATACTTAAAAGCAATGTCATTATTGAGCGTTGACACAATTTCTAACTGTGATATAGATATGTCGCTGTCACAGACAAAACTCAATGTCTTGTTTTATTGACACCTGTGTGTCTGCCTGCCTGTCTGCTAATGACAATATTCAATACACAACTGCGATCACTGACCACATGCAATTTGAACTTAACACCAATCAGGCTATACACCATAAACAAAACGCATTGATTTATGGCCCGAGTTCGGTCTCTGTCACATTATGTAATTACACAGACAGGCAGGTGTGATACTTGAACACATGACATGTTATGATGTCTGTTGATTGCAAAATGTTATACACAAAAATGAGCATGTATTTACAAAACCCAACATCTCTATATATACACACACAATGAGCCGTGAAGGCGGCATCTGCTAATGAACCAGCCGTTACACTTGAGTGCACACCCACCCGCTCTGACTGGGTTCGGTATCCCGGCTGCTTCGTTTCGAGATCGCGGTAAATTTTCCTGCTGAAAAATGTCCAAGTACAAAATATTGCACTTTTCGGAATGACTTTGTATTAATTATAATACGCGAACTTTCCCGTGGTTTACGCACGTGTTGCTCTGCCATGGCGGGAAGTTTAGCGTGCCATGTGGTCGTAATATTGAGTATTAAAACCAACTATTACTTTCCGTGGTAACCTTCACGTATTTTTCAATGTTTTCTACGTGTTTATATGCTGCTGGCCGCTGTTAGCTACATGCTTGCGTGTTTGCTTTCAGGCCTTTTCATCCTGTTCGGTCTGTGGACAAAGTATTCCACGGGCCGACAGGCATGAGCAATGCGTTGCCTGTCTCGAGAAGACGGGACACGATGCGGAATCTTGTCCAATATGTCTTGGGTTTTCCCCCCGGGCCCAAAAGAGGAGGGCGGCAGATACGCTCTTCTACCGGGAGATGCGTGAGGCGGGTGGGGAACTGACGCAGGTCCCCCCGTCTAAGGCTAAAAAGCCGTCAAAAAGGGGAAAAATCCCGTGGCCAAACCCCCTCTCCCGCCAGTACTGGTGGCTTTGACATGTCGATAATGGAAAACTTGTTTCAGCAGCATATGGACTCTGTGAAGTCCCTTGTTCGTGAGTCAGTTGGAGGTCTCCGGCAGGAGTTCCTCGCTCACTCCGGACGGGGGGCGGCGAGTCAGGGGGTGGGATCGCCGGGCTCGGCTCGATCCCTCAGCCTTGAGGCGTCTGTTGACCCGTTGCCTCTGGCTTCGGGTCCGGACGCCTCGGCTGCCCCGGAGGGGGAGGTGCTCTCAGTCCCCCTCTCGGAGTTGGCGCAGGGACCGTTGAGTATTTCTGCCTCCAGCGTCTCGGGACCGGGGTCCATGCACGCCTGCTGGCGCCGACGTGGAGCAGTCTGTCTGCTCTTCCCTTTCTGTGCTTCCTAGCGTTAGGCAGCCCACCGGGTCGGGGTTAGGGTCCTCTTTCGGAGGAGACCAAGCCTCTGACTCGGGCTCGGGCGCCGAGGCAATGGAGCTTGGGGAGGTTGAGGAGCATGACGGAGGCTTCCGTTTTGCTTCGGCTCTGCGGGAGGTCCGGCAAAGAATTGCCGAGGGCCTACCCCAAGCCGCGGTGCCTGTGGGTTGCGTGGACTCGGCTGAGTTCCGCTTGCCTGGCGCGGCGTTTGCCCTCGGCAACCCTCGCAGGCGCCTCCGCATTTTGCCTTCGTTGGTCTCAGGCGTGGTTGATCCCCTCTTGTCTGGTGCCCGAGTCCGGTTGACTTGCGGATCTGCGTCTTGGCTTACCAGCTTGGGGAGGACTCCCTGTTTGTAGTTTCCATCGTTGACGAGTGCGTGTTCACTTTACATTAAGCCCTGGGGAGGCTCGGCTTCCTCGGAGCAGCTCCGGCTGCTTCGGCAAAGGCGCCTCACTCCTTTTGCCCTCGAGAGCCCCTGCGGCACTGCGTACCCGGACCTACGAGGAGGTCTACCGGAACGCGATGCAGCAGGTCAGGGTGGTGGTCCACGAGGCCTACCTCTCCTCTATTCAGAGGTCGGCCCTGGAGGCGGAGGGGCATGCTGGCGACGTTTCGCCGCATGTCGTGCTGCTCCGTCAGCTCTCAGAAGTGCAGGCCCACCTGGCCAGCGACTCTTCTGCGGTCTGCAGCGTCAGCGGTGATGCGCCCAGTCATGGGGATCGCGCGCAAGCTGTGGCTGTCGACGTCTAGGTACTCGGCAGCGACGCAGCAGACCTTGCTGGCCCTCCCTTTCCGTCTGGGAGCGACCCTCTTTCCAGGGGCCCAGCAGGTCATACGGGAGGCTGCTGCTGCAGCTACCTCCTTCAAGGATTCTAAGGCCTTGTTGGAGCACCCGTGGAAGCGGGTGTCTGGCTCCCGTGCTCCGTTCCACCTTCCTCCGCCCGGCAGCCCTACGCCGAGTCTGCCGGCTGGCCGGCCGCTTGGTAGGGTAGGCGGAGGAACAGGTCCGCCAAGGGTAGGGGCAAGGCAGTCCTCGACTAGCTCCCAGCCTTTGGCGCGGGAGGTCTGCCCCGCCTCCGTTAACCCATCAGGCTGCCGCTCAAGCCGTGTGTCACACCCAGTCAGCTCGCTACTAGGGTCCACGCATGCGCTCCTACCCCCATGGGAGGCCGCCTCTCTCTATTCCTGCCGGAATGGGAGAAGGCTACCAACAACGCTTGGGTGCTGGCCACGGTCAGCATAGGCGATTTACCACTGTGGGCGAGGTCCGCCCGACTTCACCGGC